TAAATATTAAAGCTTTCAAATGCAAGGTTTCCAAATAACTAGATGCCTTATTAAACCCTTATTAAAAACAACATCCAAACATTTTTTTAAGGAGGTACCTCATGAGTGGCTCAGTTACTCAATAGTATGAAGGTTTGGATGGTACCCTATTGTGGCCAACAACGTAAAGTGAAATCAACTGAAGTCAATTCAAAGTAAATTGAAAGTAAATTGAAATCAATTGAAAATCAATTGAAAGTAAATTGATTTCAATTGAAAGTAAATTGATTTCAATTGAAATCCTTACTTAAGTTGACTATCCAAAAAACATGTTGAGGGGGGTAGCAAAAAACTGCGAATTATTCAGTATACTAAATTAGTTTGAGGGGGGGGCCCTCACACTAATCAGTTGCCAACATTAATCAACTTACAAACCAAGATAGATTGATTCTATTCACCATTAATTATCATTAATTATCATTAACCATTGATGTAGATACCAGTAATCATGATTGATCATCATATTCATCATTAACCCATGGTTTAATCATCATCAATCACCATTAATCACCATTCATCACCATTAATCACTATTAACCATGTAATAACCATATATTAACCATTAATATATGGTGAATTCCATTTATATTAACCATGATTCACCATTGATTTAGCATTTCCCAAGAAATCCAGAGCTTCCCTGGCCTTGCCATCCAACATCCAGATCCGTCCCACCGAGCCGTGTCGGGGCCTTGAAAAAACCCGTGGCTCGTGGGTCATGGGGAATTCATGGGATGCTGGGCATAAAAGCCATGGGATGCTGGGAATAATGGCATTTTAATGGGTTTTTAATTGGAATTTCATGAGATTTTAAGGGGATTCTAGTGGGATTTTAATGGGATTTAATAGATTTTAATGGCATTTTAATGGGATTTTAATGGGATTTTAATAAGATTTTAATGGGATTTCCTGAGATCTTTCGGGAATCGAACGGTGATGGATCGAGATCGGGATGTAGTGCGGCCCGTTTCGATGAGAGCTGGAGAACTCCCTATCCAATATGAACATTTTCCAGAGCTACTGTCTGGTTGGTGGTTCAACAACCAATAGGTACATGATAGTCTGGTTGGTGGTGGATAATGGTGGTTAATAGTGGTTAATAATGGTATCATGCTCCATCCTAAAGCATCATTTTCCATCTCAAAAACGCGGTGATCTGCCATCTGAACAATGAATAACTGCTTGGTTAATGGTTAATAATGGTTAATAGTGGTTAATGATGGTTAATCATTGGTTAATTATGGTCTGGTTGTTGGTATACCTACCCCTCTGAAAAATGATGGAGTTCGTCAGTTGGGATTGTTATTCCCAATATATGGAAAACAACATGTTCCAAACCACCAACCAGCACTGTATGCTTGATTACCAGAGAGAGAGAGAGAGAGAGAGAGAGAGGGTATGGGTTGGGTTCTCTCTATATACGGAAGTGTTTTTGTACATTATGTAAATGATGTGTGGCAAATCAACACCTTTCTGGGAGTATAATGACTTGATCATGGGAGAGTAACGGATTCATGAAAAAAGTCAGAGGAAATCTGCCGAGTAACCACTGGATATATGTACCTAGCGTGATCACATATGTTCTATGGCTTGGGTGTACATATATACATGTTTTCTTTCAGACTTAAATGCGCATGGGATATACATATGTTGCTGATTCCCCTAGTGGTGACTGCTGTTGCTGCCCATGGGGTCTTCCCGACAGAATTCGGGATTCCTAGTGGCTTTGTTGACCACTACTGTTGCCCACCGTAGGGCGATGACCATCTTCATTTGCAAAGTACACTGTGGTTTGACATGGGACATTAATATGTACATAACATCAATAGTTAGCATCACACCATATTATATCTAGGTATCTATGACACTTCAACTTGGATTTGCTGATTCGGGGTCCCCCAAAATAACACATATTCACTATAGATTCCCCAGTCATGGTGGATTTCCTATTGGGAAAATAAAAATAACCTTAAACAAAATCCAGATAATTATCACCAAACTTCAACAAATTATTGTCTAGTTTGTTTGGTTTGTGTTTTAATCTCAGGTTCCACATCCCATATGCTCCATGTATGGAATATTTACCAACATTTGCCCTAAAAATCAACCAGATGTAGGTAAATTTACCATACATGGAGCATATGGGCATCATGATGAAACAGATTCCTAACCAAACCATCACCACTACACTGGGCCCCAAAGTATCAGTTGGTTGTTGTTTTTCGCCTGCAAAAAGCTATTAAAATGTAGTTGAACATCCAGTTGAAAGGAGATGGGTGCAGGTCAAATTCGAAGTTATTGGGAAAAACAACAGGAATCGGCCGATTTTGTTGAATCAGATCCATGAACTTATGAATGTTATCCAACTTTGCGGGGTATTCAGTCCCTATTAACCCCCCAAACGGTATAACTGTTCTTTTTGCCGTTAACAACTCCCTCCCTACCCTCTGGTAAACTAACATAACTATGGGAAAATTAGCATTTTTAATGGGAAAATCCACTATAAATGTGCCATGTTCAATAGCTTTTTGTATGTTTACCAGAGGGTAACTATTAACCATTAACCATAGATTATCCATATATCAACCATGGATTAACCATTTATAGATGGTTTACCCAGTCATAAACCATAGAAAATAAAAAATCATCTTCAGCAAATCCAAGTACCCTCTGGTTATTTAACATAGCCATGGAAAATGGCCCATTTATAGATGATTTTCCCAGCTAGATACCTCCATTTATAAGGGTTTTTCCATGGCTATGTTAAATAACCAGAGGGTAATTTTTCCATTTTCCCAGTATTATCCCATCATTATCCCACTATCATCCTTATAAAACCATATTAAACCATATTAATCCACTATAAATGTGCCATTTCTTGGGGAAATGCCGTCTTTGTTGATCCATCTGGTCCATCTCCGGTGGCCTGTGCTGTTCCTGCAGCACCGCCAGGCCATCCTGGATCGGCGATCGGTGCTTACCATTTGGGGATGGTTGATGTTGATGCAAACCATGATGATCTTGGGGATCATGATTGGGTTTACCTCATCATGTGTGTATATATATATAATATAATATATAATATATATATATAGAATATAATATATATATATATATATATTTATAATAGTGATTATATATATATATATTATAATATATTATATATATTATACATATATTATATATATTATACATATATTATATATTAGAAGGCCTAGTTTTCGGAGTTATGTTGATCAACTTCGCCAAGTATGGTACCGCCTATGTTTTAACCAATGGTTAACCATCATTAACCACTATTAACCATTATTAACCATAAAAACCAAGCAGTTACTGGTTCATAATGATAGAGAATGGTTATTCAGAGTTCATTGGGCTAGAAATACTTGGACGTTGATGGGTACAGATTCTAGCATGAAACATTTGGAATCATATGGGGATTTTCTTGGGATTTCTTGGGCATCAACAAACCAAAAAAGGTGATTTTTTCCGGGGCTTTAATGGGTGATTTGATGGGTATTTAGCAACCACTTATAAATAGGGTTTCAACCAGCAAAATATAAGGATTATACCCTCCAGTAAATTAACAGTTCGACCACATAGACCCTGGCAGTCATCGGGGTTGGAAGAGTAGTTTCCTCCAAAAATGGGTGATTTTCAGGGTCGAACTGTTAATCATGGTCTTTTCTGGCTCAGTACTGGGATTCGTGCGCCTGCAGCATCGCCATGGCCGTGAAAAAATGTCCGACCTACTCAATGGATCTTTTAAAAATGGGACGTGCGCCCGGCGTCGTCGGGATTTTTCAATGGATTTAACCAACAATAATAGGATCATGATAGTGGTTAATAATGGTTAATAGTGGTTGATGCTGGTTAATCATTGATTAATTATGGCTGGTTGGTGGTTTCAACCTACCCCCCTGAACAATATGAGTTCGTCAGTTGGGATTATGACATTCCCAATATATAGGAAAATATAATTTTGGAATTTCAAAGGAGTCGGCAGAGCCCCCACAGAAGAATCCAAAGCCAAGGAGATGCTGCTGGACTGCATCATGGACATCATGGCAGCGCACGACAGGATCTCCAAGTAGATCGCCCCGTCCTCCGGATAGGACTCGTTCTGTGCGTCATACATCATGGACAGGAGGAGCTCGGTCACCTTGTAAAACGGAACCTCCACCCTCTTGGAGGTCTCGAAGAGTCCGCTCAGCTTGATCAAGATATGGCCACTATGCAATGACGACAAATTCTCCAGGAACTTTGTCTCCTTGCCGGTCTCGGTGGCTACCTCGTTGTAGAGGTCGAGCAACTTCTGTAAGTGGTTATATATATAATGGTTATATATAATGGGAAATTGGGAAACGCTAAAAAAAAATAGGTAGGACTATAGATACTGTTTTTAACCATCAATGTATACTATAGAATGACTGGTGGGTGGTTTTAACCATCTTGAAAAATATGAAAGTCAATGGGAAGGATTATCCATTTAACTATTTAACCATCTTGCTATGATTTAACCAAGTCGGGATGAAACATATTTTATAAGTGGTTATATAATGGTTATAATAGCCAACCATGATTATAATCGACAATGGCTATTGTAAGGTTTACAATGCTTTTCAACCAGCAAAATATAAGTGGTGGAGATTTTAACCAACAATGGGATATAATTCCTCTTGGTTTTCCATCGACAATTTATGGTCAGATTACTACGGTTGTCCAACTCTTATCGCTGAAACCATTTTGACTATAAGTACCCAAATTAACCAATATATTCAAAAACTGGTTTAATCCATTAATGGATAATTAAGTAATTAATCAACATTTATTACCCATGGTAAAGTAATTAATCGAAATTGCCTAGCCTCTGGTAAACATACAAAAAACTATGAAAAATGGCCATTGAAATAGTGAGTTTTCCCAGCTACAAAGTGGTGGATCTTTCCATCGTTTTTTGTAACAGTTTACCAGAGGGTATATACCGTACCTATTAAACCCATATGATAGTTGATTTTCCCAGCTATAAACCTCCATTTTCAACCACTATTAACCACTATTATATAACCACTATTAACCATATTCAAAACCAAAAAACAACTTTTCATTAAATCTCCATTTGCTTTTCAGATCATCATCTTGGTGATTGGAACTTGACAAGGTACCCACAAATTGATGGTCATTTTGGCCAATGAAAAAAGCAGAACTTTTCTGGTTACAATCCCACGAAATCCCTCATTCAAACCAGGTAAAACCAATTAAAATCCCATGAAATGCGTCAAAAACAGATATAGAAACCAATTATAACCTAAATAAAAACCATATCTTGGATTTGCTGATTCGGGGTCCCCAAAAAAACAAATATTCACTATAGATTCCCCAGTCATGGTGGATTTCCTATTGGGAAAATAAAAAAGTCACCTTAAACAAAACCCAGATATAATTTCCATTGAAATCCCCAGCATTTTTGCCAAATTTCCATGTCCCACAAAGGCGCCGGTCCTCTCCAAAGGCGCCTTTCAACTCCGCTTGGACAGAGGCGCGCAAGGCCGCGCTGCTGTCGAAGCGCAGGATGCCGTTGCCGAAACCACCTGTGGTTTAGGTGCTGCCCCAGCTACAGTAATGGTGGTTTCTTAATCGGAGGATCTCCAAAACCATGGGTTGCCAGCTACTCATCTGGCTGGTGGTTTTCCTACCCCTCTGAAAAATGTTCCAAACCACCAACCAGTCATTTAATGACAGCCAAAAACTGCTTACAATGACCCTGGTTCACCAGGGTATTGTATTTTGTTCATGACTCAATTTTTGGTTACCCTCTGGTAAACAGCCACACAGTTTGCTATGGAAAATCACCATTTTGTAGCTGGAAAAATCAACTATTTCGACTGGGCCATTTTCAATAGCAAACTGTTGACATAACCAGGTTGGGTAAATCTCAGTGTATGATGAATACATCAGGTAGTCAACCGCTACCAGTTCTTTCTGTGGAGACTGGGCCCTGTTCCGACGCTGGCGCCTGCATTTGGCTTCAGCAGCAAGGGGTATTGCCTGTAGCGGCCAGAAGTCCCATCAATGGCCATAGAAGTAATTGGTTTACCCCCCCAAAACATGGTGATTTTCCATAGTTTTGGTATGTTTACCAGGCCGGGTATACGAGGCTTGTACCGACTAATCCAGATTTCCATGGTAGTCGGGTGTAACTCCATGGATTTATCCACATCTCTAGTTGCCACACGATGAAAAAAAGTGCCATGGATGGCCCTATGATTGGTGGAACTATTGATCTTATCCGTCATTGATCTCCCCATCATTGTGGCTGTAGTGGTGAAAGTGTCAAACCTGGAGAGAATAGATGTACCCTCTGGTAATTTAACATAGCTATGGAACATCACTATTTTGTAGCTGGGTAAATCATGGTAAATCCACTATTTCGACTGGGCCATTTTCAAGAGCTTTTTCTATGTTTACCAGAGAATAGATGTAATGCATCATTCCATCCCGTCCCCCAATATGAAATGCCACCCCGGAAACCTGGTTTAGCATTGGATTTGTTGACTTTGAGAGCACATGTGGGGTGTATTTAATGTTGGGGGGATGGGTTTATTTTGGATGCGAATACCCAAGTTTTGCTTGGTGCATCACATTTAGTAAGTGGATTATAACCTGCCAACTGGGGTATCATCTATTATAATTCATACATATTCAAAGAAAAACCATTGAAATATAACCATGAGGAGCATTCCGAGCTTTGTCAGTTTTTTACTGCTCCTGAAAACCATTTTATAACCATTTTATACCCTCTGGTTATTTAACATAGCCATGGAAAATAGCCCATTTATAAATGGCTTACCTATTAAAACTAGTGATTTTCCATGGCTATGTTAAATAACAATTTTATAACCATTTTGTAACCATTAATACTGCTCCTGAATGTCCATGTTACTGCTCCTTATCCAGCGGCTTCGCGGCTTCCTCCGCTTCTGAAGAAAAACACATCAGCCCCTACTGAGATGCACATCTGGATTTGTTGGTTCCCATCCCATCTCACCATAGGAAAACCATAGGAAAATAGTAATTAGTAATGGTTAATAGTGGTTAACAATGGTTAATAGTGGTTAATAATGGTTAATGATGGTTAATCATTGGTTCATTATGACTGGTTGGTGGTTGGTTTCAACCAACCCCTATGAAAAATGATGGAGTGAGTTCGTTAGTTGGGATGATTTTCCATTCCCAACTGAATGGAAAGTCATAAAATTCCATGGTTCCAGTCACCACCAACCAGTCACTGAAAAATAGGATAATTAGTGGTCCTTTCTGGCTCAGGAAAAAACTCGACCAAAAAGCCATGGAAAACTCTGCGACATCTTGGTAAGTGGGTTATAGCCCTACTTGTACGTGGAGTAATCCCACATACCCAATTTTCGAAAAGGGATATACCATGATATAACCTTCTCACAAAGTGGGATGAACCAGCAAGTCAATGGGAATGCCAGGATCCTGAAATGGTACTGTACCATATGTTTGGCCATGTTTTGGGGGTATATCCCCTTAGATAGCCCTGAAAAATAGGCCTTATATATGGTAGGTACCTCCAATCAATCGGTTCCTGAAATGGCCATTGACCAAGTACTGTAAGTAGAAATGTCTCAGTTGTTTCCAAATACTCCTGGTTAGTTAACAGTTCGCCATGGTATAGATGGCCCTATTCGAAATAGATGGTTTACCTGGGTTTAGCTATTAATAGCATGGTGGATCTTTCCATGGCAAACTGTTCGTCATAACCAGATCGTCATTTTGAGGACACCTTCCAACGACGGACATGCCATGCCTTTGCACGTTGGGACGTGACATGACGTTTATTTCTTTGTCACAGTTAGTTGCCATCTTTGTTCACTGGCTACAAGATCAAGAAACATAGAACTGGCCCAAGTATCAGTATAATTAGACTGTTTAAAAAGTTTACCTAAGTTGCTGGATTGTTAAACAATAGATCGCTGTCAAATCACTAACGCTTTTCTACATGCCCACTGGCATAGCCAATCTTGAATAATTACCCAGCAGCAAAATCAATCTTCAACTGGGCATTAAGATTTCCCCCCATGAAAAAAGGCGAGAAACACACATTCAAATTATCACCTACCATCACAGAGTCGATTGCTCCTGAAGAACTCTTGTGATCTCCTGCCTTAATATCCAACAACTTGTCAATATGTTGGTCCTGAATCCCAATATGTTACGATTACAATTACATTGCAATAACAACACCAGTATAATTAATATGTGTATATATATATAGTATAATTGTTTGGGGTACTATATTAGAATACTTTCGCTTGGTTTTATCATGTCGCTAGGGACTATATCAACCGACCAAGATACTTCATCATCTTATAATCCGACCGTTTCATGCTCATTACCCTCTGGTAATTTAACATAGCTATGGAAAATCACCATTTTTAATGGGAAAATCCACTATAAATGGCCATTTTCAATAGCTATGTTAGTCTACCAGAGGGTACCCATCAAAGTAATCCACTCATGTCCATCAATATCCCACACTGCCGTTCTGAACATATCCAAACCCGGCCTGGTAAACATAGAAAAAACTATGGAAAATTCCCACTTTTCATAGATAAATCAACTATAAAATGGTCATTTTTTCAATAGCAAAACTGTAAACGTTTACCAGGCCGGGTATCAGTCAGTCAATGTTACTTTGGTTGATAAAACATGTGCCACCAATAGACTGTGGTGATCCAAATCAACCAATGAATATCCACTAGTATCCATTATCTGGGTAAATTATAATAATTCACGTTCACCTGAATCTTGCGGCCATTTGGGGATGATTTCCCTATAAAAAACCATGATTCCAGGGTTCGGGAGAACAGGGCTCGGTCGTGATGAAATTTACCCAGCATTATGGATCAATATCCATCACCCCATTCAGATCCAGAAATATCGATATACCAGGGGTGGTGGATATCCATCGTTATCCGTTACGTACTGATATCCATCAAAACCCAAGACTTCCAGTACCATTAAAAAAAGGAAACGATACCAGCTAAACATATGGTCGGTTGATGTCGGTTGATGTCGGTTGATGTCGGTTGAAGTGGTTGGTTGATATTCAGGTCGGTTTTGGGAAGTTTGGGTTCTGGCTGGCTTAAATCTATATATGTATAGATCTCATATATATATATAAATATCATATATATATATATACATACATTAATATATATAGATATATAAATCTATCTATCTCTATATGTTTTTTTCCCTCCCGTACTCAGAAGCGTTCCACGCTGCGACGGAGCAGAGCTCAAATTCTAAGTGGCAGTTCGGATAATTATCCATCATGCCCGATCCAGCCATCGAATGACACGTCTCTCATGCCTTTACAACGGTCAATGAAATCAGATGGAGGATCAAATGTTGGGTCACTGCAATCCATGCGAGTGACGTCTGTACATATTCCGGTTGCAATGGCCAAACAAAGAGATGGAGGATATTCTTTGAGTGGCGCCGTGCGATAATTTCCGCTGGAATCTTTGCCGATGGAACAACCTTGAGGAAGATGACCTGAGAGACGATGTCGATGCATGTCCATTTCCAGCGTCTCCATGCCCAAAACAAGGAAAGTCGTAGGCTTGGGAGAAGGGGCCCCAAAAAGTCCCTGGGAGAGCGAGATCAGTCTCATGCGAGGCAAAGTCAGCAGCAACCGTAAAATTGGTAATCGCCATATACTCACGTAATGGGGATTCTCTGGGTCTTTGGGGTGTTCAAGTAGACCCACCCCTGTACACGTGGCCAAAGCCGCCATACACTCGAAAGCAAAGCCCAAAAGGAGCGTTCCAATCATGACTTGCCTCAATTCCCCAATGCGCAAGGATGGCAAGCCCCAGGGGGCATCCGGACATCTGATGACTCTGGGTCCATGAAAATCACCTAGGTCAATGTTTCTTGCTTTACTCCAAGTGTTACATGGAGGTCCTCCAATAAAAGCAATAACATGCCCATTCTTGATGTGTGAAAGCCAGTAGTCACGTGTTGCAACTTTCGAAATGTCGCCAAATTGTGAGTCGATCACAATGTCGACAGATGCAGTCACAATGATGTGATTTGGAAACTGTTCCGCCATTGAATTTATGTACCACTCAATATCACCCCGCCTACGCCTTCCAGCGTATGCATGAAGCACAACTTTGAAACGGCAAGGCAGTCTGGGGATTGCCGGTGGCAGATCCCTGTTGCCACTGGGCTCAGTTGCCAACTCGGCGTACCAGTTTTCCCATTCATCAAGTCGAAGTCTTGACAATGAGTCAGGCTGCTTCTGCGCAACAAGAAAAGGCCAATGGTCAACCTTGAGCAGGGAATTGATGCATGTGGTAACCTGTTCAAATGTGACAGATAAAGGTTCAGCATCTTCAGGCGTGAAAGTTTCAAGGAAATGGCGCAACGTGTGACAACATGTTGTCCAACAAAGCGGTTGTTGTTGGATTACCTTCTGCAGCGTCGACAAGGGGTCCATGCCAGGTTCCATGTCAACCAAACCAAGGTAAATGGCTTCCAAAACTTCCAAATCATACTGCACAAAATCCTGACGGACATTAGGAGGCAAATGGGGCCCTTGGCCATAAAGAAACGGAACCGCTCCATCGACAGCTTCATGGAGCTCCCGATCAACAATGGATCCTGTGCCCGGTGTGACCCCACATTGAACCCTTCTGCCTACCAAGCTCTGCCTGCAAACATGTGCATGTCTCAGGTGCGCTAGGACTTTGGCTCTGGTATGGTATTCTCGCAGACAGTTGGGGCATGAGGTGCCATCAAAAAGTCGGCGTGCCGATGCTCGAAAGCCATGGCGCTTGAACATATGAGCACTTTCCCCAGCTCTAGTGGAGTGGGCCGTCATGCAATGTAGGCAACCATACGCGATGGATGTCTGGACTGCTTGCTGGACTGGCCTCGGTGGGGGTGGAGTCCATCCATGCTGGTGCAGGATGTCTGCAACTCTTCTGTGCATCTGAATGGCAATGTCCTCATTTTCCCTTTGGAGACAAGCATGGGCAGCCCCTTTCTTGAGGAGTTTTTTCCAATACCCTCCATGATGTATCAATAGATCTTGCCAAACCGGGAAGTGCAAGGTCGGGTCAGGCAAGCTGGTATTGTTGCACAGTTGTCTCCAAAGCCAGCGAAAATCATCTTCAATCAGCGAGATCCATGTGATGTCTTCCCGCAGTAGCCCCCAATGGGCATCGCTTCCACACCGAAAAAGCGTGCCAAAATACCGAAGGCGGCAGCAGCGGAGAAGCTCAGTTGGTGACGGCAGGCCCGCCGCAATGATCACGGCATCATCAGTCAAATGTTCAGCAAAACAACTTCCAATAAGGCGTTTATACAATCGTATAATGCCAGAGTGCAGTTGGTCGCGACATTGCTGGGTCTCGAATGTCCACGATTCAAACCCGTACATCAGTTTACTGAGCACAAGCGTAGAGAACATCTCCTTGCGCTTCTGCCATGGGATCTGAGCATTGCGATACAGCAAACGTCGGTGTTGTGTAAATGCTTGATGGGCGATACCCAGGCGTCTGGTAATTTCAGCATTTGTCACTGTCCGGTGGTGCAGGATACCACCTAAGTGAAGATACCTACTCACAACAGAGATATGGTGGGTTTTGTTTTCGCAGACAACCGGAAAGCCACAATTTTGAGAATAATATCTCCTGCGAAGCTCACGCGACCCAATGCCTCTGAAACAGAGCATGACTTCTGTTTTCCCTTTCTTGAGATTAGGTTGCATGTGGGCTTCATGACAAAGATCAATGAGGATGCTCAGAGCTGTACCTGTCTTGGCAAGCAGGGCTGCATTCGATGATGCAGCAATGCATACGCTTAAGTCATCCATCCAAGTTGGCCCGATAAACGGGGATGATGAGGTGATGTCGGTGGCAACACCAAACAAACTGGGATGTTTGAAGTCCGGCACATGCGTCAGAACATCAGCTTCAATCAGTTTTGTTTCATAAGTACGCAGGAGCTTGGCCCATAGCAGGCCGAAAACTACATCAGCATAGCTGTCGCCTGGTCGCGACCCTTGCTCTGTTCGTACAACATCATGCTGGTTACCAATGGTAAACCAAGTGTCAGTGTGCAGGGCCTGCATGAACCTCTGAACATGAAAAGGAGCACCTGCCTGCGCCAGCGCTGATGGCGCGCTGATTTGTTGGACAAATTCATGCAGGGACTCTGATGAATAACCCAAATGTGAAGCTATGTAGGCAACATGCTCATCTTCCAGGTCACCGCCTACAGCTAAAACTCTGACTACTCGATAAAAGGCCTCGGTGAGGTCAAGGAAAATCACCGATGCTGGGCATTTGAGGCGGTGTTGCCATCGCAAAAATGCACGGGTCATATGTAATGGCACCCCAACAGGCATGTGTGGTCTCCCCCCCAATTGTTGGCCTTGCATGAAATTGGTGTACAAACAGTGGTGCTTCTGTCGCAGTGCGCGATGAATGGTCTTACCTAGATGGCTGGAAACCAAGAGTGATCGATGCGATGAGCAGTCAGCAGGATCGCCTTTGTGCTTCCAAGCTATGGCCAGGCGCCCACCTTTGTGCTCGATCGCCTCTTGACCAAATAGGCATGTTTTGAGCATCACAGAGTACGATAATCTGGCAAGGTCACATGCCTTGAATCGGCAAAGTTCAGGCGGAATTCCATCCATGCCGATGGCTTTCCCGACAGAGACCCTTCGGAATGCAGTTTCGAGCTCCACAAGACTCGGCATCTCTTGAATCGGGACTTGGAAGTTACCAACATGCAGAAATTTTTCCAAGTTTTGCAGCCAAGTCTTCCGAAACTCCTCTGTCGTGAGGCGCTGACCACCTTCCATGTGCTGAAAAAATTGTATCCACCTCTGCTGGGCAGCTTCAGGGGTCCCACAGACCTGTCCCCCAGCATCCCGCACCAGCGGAAGACATGCCCTTTTAACTTTTTTGGGGTTGGTGGATCCAAGAAAGGGCTTCAGACGATGCAAAATCTCTCCAGCAGGCGCAGTTGCAGTGAGTGACATGATCTCAGCTTGAATTGCTTGGATCTTGGAATGTCGCAATTGCTTTATCAAACGACGAGCCAAAACAACGTACTGGCAATGGAGTCTAATCTGTATGCACAAATTGGTGTGTTCATATGCAAAATGTTGTTCAAGGGTGCAAACTTCTGTGGCAGGGGATTTCCAAAGCAGGAAAAACAACCTGAGCTGTGTGATGGAACTGGTAGTAGACGCACTACAAAGACGTCTACGCAAGGCCAGTTTCTGTCCACGTAAATCCCAGATGGGTCCGTCAAGACCTGGCTTCTTGGGCATCGATGGTGCAACTGGGCAGGCATCGGCAACTTGACTGAGCAGATTCCTATTGAGCTGCTGCACCTGAGTTTCAATGTCAGTCAGCCAAGGGTCAGCTTTGATGTTCTCACATGCAATTTGATGGCGGTTCTGACCAATTGCATTCCGTTGAAAAGAAGTGCTTTTGGCCTTTTTTGGCAGAACCTCAATTGTATCCCGCCAACAGAGTTGGAGACCAACAGCAAGGTGGTCATCATGAGCATTGCCTTGATCAAAATCCTGTAGCACACCAGAATAAGTACATGATGAACTCCATGACTGAGGGACAGCTACATAATCAATTCGATGACTGTGCAATCTGTCCGGTGCCGTCCATGTCATGTTGGGGCCGCAATGTACCTTACTGGTGCAAGGCAGACACAACAACTGCATCTGCAGAAAGTGCATGAAGAAGTCAGTGTTGGCGGAGCTATTGTCATCATTGTCAAAAACAACTGGTGGGTTACACGGTCCACTCTTGGCATTGGCATCAATCAATACAAGCAGTGGGTGGTCATGACAATGTGCAGTGGCAATCTCTATGGTTTCCTGCCACCAGAGTTTACGTTCACTGAGAGGACGTCCACTCTGTGGGGCATGCATGGAAAGTACATAGCAACGCAGGGCTGGATGATCAATGCGAGCGAGGAGTCTACGTGGATCAGCATGGACTACTTGAACATGAGATTTCTTGAGGAATTGTGGTCTGTTCTTGACCAAGCTGATTGGTTGTGCAAGGTCGATCCAGATCTCAATGCCGTACTGACCACGGCACGATCCTCCCGCAAGTCGCAAGACATTGTCAGCTACGCTCATGCCAGCCGGGCTTCTGGCTTCTTGTATCCCGAGAATATTGAGCTTGAAAGATTTCATCTGCTCTCGGAGATATTGCAGTTTTCCAGCGAAGCCCTCAGGACCAGTGAAGAGCGATCCAACATTGAAAGTGGCTAAGCTCAGTGCAAAGTGGGCTGGGATGCGATGGGATGGCAATTGCTTGTCGTCCTGTGAGGGCAGTGCAAGCGGTAACTCCGGTGGAGAAACGTCAAATCCCTGTGCAAGCAATGGAGGCAAACCGGCATCCCTATGTATAGCCATCCAAAGATATGGCAAAAAGGGTGCCCATCGGCGCAGGTCCACTTGTTGTCGCCGGAGCTTGTGACCTTGGGCGGCCTCAGTCTTAGCAAGGTGATCCGCAAGCTCGTTCCATGCGTCCCCAGCATGCCCTGCAACATGATCCACAATCAATCCATCATTTGCAAGTCCTGCTGCTAGCGTCTGAAAAACACTACGCAACAGAACAAAGGTTGGGTGATTGTCATGGCAATTGGTATTTCCAGCTGCTTGGCTCGCAGTAGTACTTGAATCAGTTCTGAAAACAGTAGGGATGGTTGAGTCAATACCTAACCTCCAAATTCCAGCCCAAAATAAACCTTCCCTTTCTGCAAATTCTGACCCAATAGCGTCGGTGCCAAGAAAATGCGGCAAGGATGATTCATACAAAACAGGTTGCGAATGCCATCCTAGGAAGGAAATTGTCGAGCTGTCCTCAGTCTCACCATACTTTTCACCAAGCACAATGAAAGCCCATGCATCTGGCACATCGTGCTCTTGGACCCACAAAGGCGCTTTCCGGCGGTTTGAAGGCTTGGAACTCCCGTCCGTGTAAATAATTAGACGGTCAAATTGGCTGAAATTGTTGACGTTGGATGTCAAGCCTTCAGATTCCGTGGACTGATTCAGGGCTGCACGGACAAAATCGGGCACTTGAAGATGTGAATGCCAATTGCAAAGGACCGTCTCACCAGATAGAAAAAGGTTTTGAAGTTCAGTCAAGGTGATGTCCCATGTCAAAAGGTGTTTGTGTTCATCGGAGTTGCTGGAAGGCAAATGGAAAAATTTTTGTTGTTGTGTCACACTTTGCCTCTTAGGCCAGGCAGTAGGGATTCGATCTTTCCGAACAGGATCATCCATGGCTGGCTCATTGTTGTGGTATTGAACAAGGACAAATTGACACTTCGGCCTGCGTTCTTGCAATACAACTGCACGTTCGAATCCAAGAGAGTGCAATAGAACCATGTGCTCATGCTCAGTCAAATCATGGTCATCCTTGTGCATGACAATCTCGGAACGGTCTTGAAATTGCAATGGGTAATAGATGTAGTGCCATTCCAGAGCTGGAGCACACCACATAGCAGGCAAAACAAGTGCAAATCCAGTTGCGGGCAAACAGTAAGCATGACAGTTCTGATCAAATTCCTGAAGCTCCCTCTGGACATCATGCTCACAATGCTCATCGGATACAAGTACATGTGAAGGGAGGCGATCTGGAATCACACCTGCATGGCCAACATGAATCAAATTGATCGGAACTTGGCGATCCAAAAACAGTTTGTCATGCAACGTCAAAGGTTGGTGTGGGAGCTGTAACATGGCCACAGCTTCATCCGTTACAATTGGAGGCATGGCGACAACCTGTCTTGTGATTCGCACAGTGATCTCATCACCCGAGCGACCTGGCCAGCGTTGGTCCTGTTGGACTTGATGACCATTGATCCATCCTTGGTATTGGATCACATTGGTCTGCACGTAACCACAGTTGCGTAGGACCACGTCTAGTTGGATATGTTCAGAGGTTGTCACAGCTAGGCGCATGAGATGATGTTCACGACGACTGATGAATGAATCAAACACAGTGACAAGGCAGGATACCCATTCTTCCCTCGGCGCTTGGACAATGATCACATGAACAAGAACATCGGGCTCCATTACTGGTGGTGATGGTTCGACAATGTGCATCTCAAGTGGCATGCCAGGCTCAATGGAATCATGCCATGCTGCACGAATGAGGGCCTCCCAATCTTGATAGTTATCATCAAGGTAAACCCGACGACTCTGGGTGCATACAGGATGACCTCTGTGATCAACAAACCACGTGACAATGGGAGCTACCGGAGCTTCATTTTCCCATGTGAAAACCCTGGCGGTCCAGACAAGATAAAGTTCATGAATCAAGTCACTTGCCACAGGAGCAGCTCGGCCGGGTTGGAAAACAGCTGCGTTCACATTGAATTGAAAAGTTGGACATGCTTGTGCCGTCGGTGCAGCAGAGCTGCCGGATGCTGATTGCGACGGTGTTTGCGCCGTCGATGGTTGTTGCATTAATACAAGATCATCAAAGTATCCCTGTGGCTCTTCTGGTGGATCCTCAGGGAGACGTGGCATCTGTTGATTCTGTGAATCAACTTGGACTTTAATGCTGAATCCTGAAGTGACCTCAGTCGCAACGACAAGATGCATAATGTCCAAGTTGTGATATACTGTACAACGGCGATCATTGCAAAAAGGTTCAATCTCAAGAGCATCTATCACATCTTGTTTTCTTATGTGTCTAGGCATAGAGAAAGCACCTTGGATGATGCCATCATTTGTATATCCGGCAAGAAGGGCAGTCAGAACTCCTGCAGCCTGACCTGGGGCCCTGTTTTGTTCCAGCAAGATATGACAAGCATAACCATAATGCCGATACTGAGGTGGCCGAGGTTTGACAATGTGTACAGAGAAGGGTGCATTTTGAATCATCTCATCCCTCCAGGTATACGTAAATTCATCAAGCCATGTGATCCAGTAATGGTCCAATCGGATGGGTCTGGGTCGTCTGCACACAGGTCTTCTCAGGTGATCAACATACCATGTTTGAACATAAAGGAAGTATTCACCTTCAAATGCCTCTTCTCGTGCATTTTGTGAGAAAATTTGGCCAAATTCCCAGAACCAATTTTCGTCTCCATCATGAGCAGGTCGTGGAGGTCTTTCTGGCCTTCGTCTTGACGACGTCATAGGCACATCAATGTCCTGATCCAGTTCGGCGCCTTTGAACGAGACCCAAGGTCGATGTGTCACACTGGCATCTGGTGTGACATGCGTTGCATGAGCGTCAGGTCCAGCAGAACTGTGCCGCTGAGCATGGGCAACCTCTACACTTTGGGCATGTGTCGGATCACCAGCTGGTGCAGTGGGGTCACCAGCAGCACTGCTCTGTGGGGTAGTTGACACTGCACTAGAGCTGGACAGGCTTCGGACTACAACGATGAATGAATCTCCATCCTGCATTTCATGCGTTGGTTCCAAAGTGAAAGGGATCCTATTCCGACCATTTCTAATAGAACATGCATGCAAATTACACTCATGAAGATACTCGGCTTGTTGAATGATCTGATGGCCACTTGTCATTTCAGATAGTGAGACAGCAACAGAATAAGCTACTCTCTGTGCAGGGTCATCTTTTTTGCAAATGGACACAAGTCCAGCCCTTCTCGGAGCATCAATGCCTTGGGATAAAATGATGTCAAATAAGATTTCATGCGCAACACCTGAACGAGGTGGGTTTGGCCGCACGATGTCAAAAATGACTTGTTCCAACGGCAGAATGCGATCTCTCCAGGCTGAGATGATGTCATTGAACCAGTGTCTCCAATGTCCGTTAATTTCAATAATTCGAGGATGAAAACACTGTGGTGCCTGCAAATGATGAACAAACCAGGAACGCAAGAAAATGCTCTCATGAATGCGCGGTCCAATCACGACTCCTTCAGAAAAAAGCGCATCATACAAATTCTGCAGGGAATCAGGGGCCTCATGCAAAAAATGATTAGCATCTTCTGGGTCATCGTGCTCATCAGGTTGCGGTTGATTGATATTGAGCCATGTTGATGGAACATTATAATACTGATCAGTGGTTCGCAATCTTCGTTCCAAAAACAATGGGGATTCTGATTGGCTGTCATTGGAGCCCCCCAAAACTTTTGGGGGTCGTCTGGACCAAGGTTTGCCAGTCCAATTTGCAAGCTCAAACGTATCCATTGTGGTGGCAAACATGGCAAGCTCATCTTCCAAACCAACATAGATAGAAATCTTATCATGAAATCTAACTGCGCTTGGAGATGAGGACTTTGCAACGGCATTTGAACGGATGCAGGTACGCAAACTACTGTGGAGCATGCACGAATTACGGAGCTCTGACACAGGTTGTGTGCATCCATTTCCATTCTGATTCGGGATTGATTGGGCAGGACAAGAAAAATCAACCAATTGAGCATGCTTTTCAGGCGCAAAGAAATCATCAAAGGAGTCACACAATGTGCTCCAACTGAGCTTCCATGCCGAGAAAACTGCATCAAAAGGATTGAGATAATTATATTCATGCTGTATGGAATGTTGCCAGTGAGAAAATCGATGAATGTCAAAATCGGTGAGCAGGTAAGGGCTTGCTGCACACATCCCTGGCAAGGATGCATAGGCCTCAACCACACCTGCCGCAAAGAGGGCGTCATGCCCGTCATGGCTCAGCACTGACGTGACACCGCCATCCCTCAGTCCTTGGCAACTTCCCCACCAGGCACATGTCCACCAAAGGGCGTCATAGAACGTGGACGTTTTTTGTCTCGTTCGTCGTCCTCCATGGTGAGATCTTCCGTCTCTTTCTCGTGTGGCACAGTCTCTGCCAGCAATGCTGCCGCACAATTCTGAAGCACCGTTTGTAGATGCCCCTGCAATTTCTCCTCTTCTGGATCGACTTCGCCACTTCCATCTTCCTGCTCCACCGAGAAAGGTGTGATGGGGGGCATTGCCGCCAGTTGGGCCTGTGATGCAGTCGATGACAGTGCTTGAATGGCATTCTTGGCAGTCTCTATGTCCGATTTGGATTTCATGATCACGTCTTGGAATGCAGCTTGCTGCTTTTGATACTCCAGCAGCTGTGCCTGCCAAGTCGTGGCTGCTTCGGTGATATGTTTGACCCATCTGGCACGATGGGACTTCTTTGCATCCAATGACTCCTGTAGAGCTTTCTGTGCCTTGCCCAAGGACTTGGTAGCTGAGTGAATATTTTTGGTCACCAGCTTGCTGTTGTCTTTCTCGAGCTTCTCGATTTCCTTCTCGATCTTGTCGATCAATTCTTTGGTTTCCGGTGGTATGTTGCTGCCATCCGGATAGGCATTCTTGAGAGCTGCAATGCACTCTTTCTTCTGAGCAAGGATCTCGACAAGGCTTGAATTGGATGGTGCAGTTGCGAATGGAGTTGAGCTTGCAGCTGCACCATCCTCTGATGTCCATGATGGCATGCTGGCAGTCAGTGGAGCGAAGGGCGAGTTGCTCTGCTCTCCTGTTCCCTTCAAATCTCCCCCACCTTTGCTCTTGCCTTTGTGTTTGCCTTTCCCCTTCCCAAGACCTTTGCCTTTGCGAGCACGAGGACTTTGGGATCTGCTCTGAGATCTGCTCTGCGACCTGTCCAATGGCATCGGCCACTGCCAGGAGCGATCTTCCGCTTCCCATTCTTCCCATTGTTCCCAGTCGAATCTCTGTTGTGGTGGCCAAGCATCCCGATACGCAGTGGCCTGATAGGTCTGCTGTTGCTTCGGCTCCGTCTTGTGACGGGTCCCTGATGTCCAATGAGCATGGCACATCACACACTTGGTTGCGATCTTCTTGTTGATTCTCTGGCAATGGGAGCATTTCCATGGATATAAATCGGCTGAATCCATGTTGATGTGCTTCTGTATTGTCAAAATGAAATTGGAGTCCCGACTGTGGTGCTTTGCCAGTGTACTCTTGATACGCAGAAGTTCCAGCTTGTTCAAAGGCACTTGACCAGTGCGATGTTGATACCAGGCTGTTCTGGCTGCAGCGCGTTGTCTGCGCTGCCTCCTCTTCCGTGTACCACTGAGTAGAGTAATCTTGCAAATGCACAAATGTCACCACCAAAATCAGCAAAACAAGCAAAACTGAGCACATAAATGATTGCCAATTCGCAATGTAAACAACACCAGGGCGTGTCCAGTTCAGTGTTGAATGCAAATGGCGAAGGGACAATAAAATTTGTTTGAGAACCTCCTCACGGTACAGTTCAAAAAATGGAATTGAATTGAAAGAAAAGTTTGAATCAGGTGTATTGCCCACCTGCAGAAGCCAGTTGTATGCAAAATTGTGAGGGGACGAAGTGCCAATACAAAAAATTGTAGAGTGCTGTCGAGGCCCAAACAAATAGTGCAAAATCCCAAGTGTTCGGTACACTTGCAGAAACCAGAAATACAACAGGTGATTGGCTCACCTGCAGAAGCCCAGCAAAAGGTCCGATGAAAATAAGATTCCAAATATGCCACAAAGGTCAGCCAGAGGAAAAATTTCAAAGACACCAATGCCGATAGACGGGGTTTTGGATCCAAATGAGCTCACCCCAAACTCACAAAAGGCGGTGGAGGCTTGTCCTCGAAGTCCTCGTCCACCCGCGGGCAAAATCGGGCCCGCTAAGGCAATGGCAGCAAGTCACGCAAACTGCTACCCTAACCCACGGGCACGAATGTGGGCGTGGAGCCAATGCCTTTATCTCTATATATATATATATATATGTATTATAAATCTCATTAATTACTATCTGAAGGCAGGTGCCCAAAAAAACTCCTACTTTGACGATGCGGACCAGGTGTTCCGGTCCTTTGGATTGCTCCAGTGCCACCTCTGGGGTCTCTGGTGCCTGATGTCTATTCCAAGATTTCCAAATCAATGTAAATCATCTATGTTCCATTGGGAATACCATTGGTTAATAATGGTTAATGATGGTTAATAATGGTTAATGATGGTTAATGATGGTTAATAATGGTTAATGATGGTTAACCATTGGTATATAATCAATGGGAGATCTCCAGGATCCAACAGATGGAGGTTCGTAAACGTACCATATGTTTGGCCATATTTTTTTGGTATATTCCCGCAAACATAGGCCTAAAACATAGGCCTTATATATTGGTAGGTACCTCCAATCAATCGGTTCCTGAAATGGTCATTGTTCATGTATTCATCAACATTTATGAACTATTTACGATTTCTACTAAATGAGTCCAACATTTCCAACAATATATTCTAGATAATTTCTACTATTATAAAAAACTATAAATAGTTCCCACTATAAATAGGATTTTCCACTATAAACCATGCAGCGTTTTTGGGGTACCTCCATGGCTATGGAAACCACCATTTCCCAAAAGCCATGAACACCTCCCACGCCCAGGCACATCTGTTCTTGCTCAGCCCTTTGGGCCAGCTCTTCGCCCGAGGCCTGCGTTTTTTCATTTTTCTCCCGGAGAAAATTGAGAAAATGCTGGTTTTTTCACTGGGAGATGGTTGCCATCCTATGACATTCACAGGGCTAGCCATGGGTTTTTCGATGGCCCATTTATCGAAATAAATAGCATTTACCGTTCTATTCATAGCCATGGTGGATCTTTCCAGTTCGCAAACTGTATCATGAAGATTCATGGGATGAGATTCACATGATTTGGGATAAGATTCGAATCTGATTTTGACAAAAAAAATTGCTGAATTGCTGAATTGGTTTGAAATGATTGAAATCCACCGTGATTTCTATGGATCATGAGATTTCGGATCATGAGATCATGGCATTTCTCAGATGTTTTGGCCACCCGCAAAACATCGAATTTATGAAATTCACCCGCGGTGAACGCCACCGAATGGTATACGGAAGTGTTTGCCGCAATATTGTGGTGTTTTTTCAGAACAACGGGTAAAAAACATTGAATATCATGTAATGTAATATTACATATATAGAAACCCATAATTACATCATTAAACCATATGTTTCACTTATGCCATAGTTTTTTTTTTTTAATAGGTCATGGAATATGATCGGCTAGCCGATCGTTTCAGAACAAACGCCCCCTTGGGGGGTTGGTTCAACCAAAGATCGCGGCGTTTCACCCTGGGGAGTTCAGAGATCGGGATGTGTTTGAAAAACATCCTCAGATTTGGTCAAATGTTGATACGTATCTGTATCAATATATATATATATATACACCCTCTGGTTATTTAACATGGCCATGGAAAATGGCCCATTTATAGATGATTTTCCCAAGAAATGGCACATTTATAGTGGATTAATATGGTTTAATATGGTTTTATAAGGATGATAATGGGATAATGATGGGATACGTATCGTCGTATCAATATACCCATGACGGATCCATGGTGCTGGTATATATATGCTAACATAAAGGGGGTATATTGATGGTAAATGTTAGCAGATATAGCATACATGGATCCTATGGGATATATAGCCTCTGGTTATTGAACGAAACCCATGGAAAATCACCATGCTATTAATAGGTAAAATCATCATTTCTATCATCTATGAATGGTCCATTTTCCATAGCTATTTTGACATAACCAGACGGTATATATAAAAATAATACACGCAGATATTAAAGTGATCAGTTACATAACATGTATGATCCTGTATATCGTGACAGATGATTAAACACTATATTTCTACTTCACTAGCTTGCTATCTGCATAGTCCTGGCCATGACCATAATCATCACTATCACCATCACTATCACATATGACATATGTATACACACAAACAACAATACTATATCACTACATTATAGTTCTCTGATTCTTCGTTTGTATTTCCAATCATGGGATATGTTCACTTCATCAATGCCCATGTTTAATAGTTACATCGACATTTTGGTGGTTGAATGTTGAAACTATTGTAACTATATATTTACATATATCTACAACTATATAGTTGTACAATAGTTGTGACATATAGATATATAGTTAACATATTGTTAATATGTATATATATATATAAAGCTAACATACTGTTACAACTATACAGTTGTGACATATAGATATATATCTTAACAATATATGACACATAGATATTGTACAATAGTTAACAATAGTTACCCTCTGGTAATTTAACATAGCTATTGAAAATCACCATTTTTAATGGGGAAATCCACTATTAATGGTCATTTTCAATAGCTATGTTAAATTACCAGAGGGTACATATCTTTCGTGCTTAGCCGAAAAAACTTGACCAGTTCCTTTGCTGGTGAACTTCACCAGTTCTTTTCATGATGAAAAATCCCCATTTCTGAACCTGTCTCCATCCCATCTCACCATAGGAAAAACATAGGAAAATAGTAATTAGTAATGGTTAATAGTGGTTAATAATGGTTAATGATGGTTAATCATTGGTTAAAACATGGGCTGGTTGGTGGTTGAACCACCTACCCCTCTGAAAAATGATGGAGTGAGAGTCCGTTGGGATAATGACATTCCCAACTGAATGGGAAAAACATGTTCTAAACCACCAACCAGTTATTTCAAAGGATCCCCATGATCTTCCCATTATGACTCAGATGATATTCCATAGTTATCATCAAGTACCATAAACCATATAGATATCCATAGATTTATCAGTTTATCATGCACCTATTGGTTGTTGAATGGTGAGACTCCCTATTAAAATCAACCAACCAGTGGGGAAAAACACATCGGCGAAGAAACACCATGGTTTCGATGGTTAAAAAACGCATTAAACCATATAAACTATTATAATCAATGGTTCTATGATATCCACCATTATATGGATTAAACCAATATGGTCCAGGATATCATTGGATAATAAATGGTGGATAATAAATGCTGGTTCATATGATGTCTATGAATGATAGTTGAAGGATGGGGGTATATCACATTCCATACTTTCCATGCTTTTTGAATGAACAATTGGCGTTGATCAATTACATCCAAATTGATCCAAGTTGTGATTGCTTGATCTTCCTGATGATGTGGTGGTTTGCGCGTTTTGAATGAAGGATTAGACATGGCTTACACCAATAAGTGACCCATTGCACTGTGCGACCAACGAGGGGTGGAATGTGAAATGGGCGCATGAGGACTTACTCGTTTGGGTTTTGCACAGCTGTTCACAATAGTAGATCCCGATGGAAAGACGGAAAGCATTTTTCATAACCTTGGTCAGGTCGTCCCTTTAATGGGCTTGTCCCGTATGTATATTAATATGTATATATATATATTAATACATATGTAAAATAATATGTTTTATCATTTTTACATGTCATATTTTACAGTGATATGACTGGGTTAAGCCTAGGTTACCGCTTAAGCACGGCCACGCAGGACCGCGGGCCATGACGATCAGGGGATTCCAATGGGCAGTTTATATGGCTTGGTCTGAATATGGAGTATATCGGTATATCCCAAATCTATTCCCATTACCCTCTGGTTATGTCAAAATAGCTATTGAAAATGGCCATAGAAATAGTGGATTTTCCCAGCTACAAAATGGTGATTTTCCCATAGCTATGTAACAAATTACCAGAGGGTAATGGGTTTTGTTTAAGGTGATTTTTTTATTTTCCCAATAGGAAATCCACCATGACTGGGGAATCTATAGTGACTATTTTCTATTTTTGGGGGACCCCGAATCAGCAAATCCAAGAATAGAATCCCTTTAAATACCACTGACTAAATTAAATCATTCAATTTTGTTCAAGCATTCCCTTTATAATCTCATCAGACCATCATTTTCCCACAAGAAACTGATCATTTTGGAATAAGTGTGCAATAAATCTTAATAATATAAATAACAATTTTGATTTTGGGATAAATATGCTATGCTATTCATCTTTAGTACTATTGTGATGTGGGTAAACAATAATAAACCATCCCACAGTCATCACAATTTTTATAGGTGGTATGGTTACTATTTCCCAAATAGGTGGTTTATGGCATTGTTTTACCCACAGTAGAATAGGTGGTTTATTGTTATTGATGATAGTTTAAATACTATTAATTATTATAATCGATGATCATTTAGTACAATAGGTTGTTATTATAATACTATAGTTCTCTTTTTGATATTCTTTCTTCTTCTCTTCTCTTCTCTTCTTCGACTCTTACGACCTCTGCTTTTCATCTGTCCATATTGTCGGAAGTTTGACTTCTAAACTTCCTTCGATTATAATCGATGATCATTTAGTACGATAGGTTATTATAATACTATTAGTTATTAGTTGAATACTATTAGTTACTATTATTATACTATTAGTTATTGTATGGTCATTTTCTGCATCGATTTATTCAGGTGCCATCCAGTGACCACCTCAGTGACCACAGCGCTCTGGGGCGATGGAAGCTGCAACCGCCGAAGCAAGGCATGCTGCGCTACCTGGATTTCCAAATCACTTACTGATGGTTAATGATGGTTAATAGTGGTTAATAGTTGTTAATAGTGGTTAATAGTTGTTAATAGTGGTTAGTGATTGTTAATAGTGGTTAATAGTTGTTAATAGTGGTTAATAGTTGTTAATAGTGGTTAATGATGGTTAATGATTGTTTTTTAACAATCTTACTTTACTTACTGGTGCGTTTTACGTAGGGAATGGATGGGACTGGGGGAATGGGATTACTATTTCTTATTATGGATCATTCCCGCATTCCCTGCTAAGCACCAGTAAGATCACCAGTCCGCACAAACAAAAACTCCTGCTATGATGGGGATTTGAGGGAGGCCTTATTGGACTTAAACATGCTATAATGGGAATCGAGTAGATCTTGAGAGGATTTTGATCAAATTTGCATAGATCTTTTCCTGGGCTCTAATGGGATTTTCACGGGATTGACATGGGTCATGACTGATGTCCCCATTTTTCACATCACCCAACCATGAATGGTATATGGTCTACTAGATGGCTATTATAAGGTGATGTACCAATATACCCAATTGAACTAATTATGGCTATTATGGTCTATTATAGCCAAAATAATATGGCTATTATATGGTCTATTATGGTCTATTTATGGTAACATGTCCAATATACCCAAAATGGGACAGGCAAACCAACCCCTGATTGACTCGGATCTTGTCGGACGATTTGTCGGTTTTCCTTTGCCATGTGAAGCAAGCGTGTGGTGCAGAGGTAAACTAATTAATGGATATACCCTCTGGTAAACTAACATAACTATGGAAAATCACCATTTTGCTGGGAAAATCAACTATTTCGACTGGGCCATTTTCAATAGCAAACTGTTGACATAACAAGAGGGTAACCATGGTTATCTCTCCGCAGCAGCGCTGCAAACAATCGTAGCAAAGGCATAATTTTTGAGCCAGCCCTCAATGTTCTTCAAAAGCCTCTGCCGGCTTCTTTTTGCACGGGACACTGCGCACAGCAGCTTTCTGATCTGTTCGAGGGTAAAAGAGACAGGTGACAGGAGGAGACCCAGACCCAGGCTTCAACATCACTATTGTCATATCTGGGATGTCAGACAGTGCTGCGGGGGCCGTGGTGGCGTGGTCGGCGTCGAGCATGACGGGGCGTGCTCCCTCGTGGGCGCTACGAAGCTTCTCGAATGATTCACGCCCTTTGAAAATGATCCAGGGGTCAGCATTGTTCGGAAGCCCCCAACCAACACAGCCGACACCAAAACTGAGGTGGTTCTTTGCGATGTTCACTTCTCCCACGTCAGGACGGTAAGTAGTGACGTACGGTGATGTGGTTCCCAGCTTTGTGTCTTCATCTCGAGCGGCTTTTGTGAATGCTTTGGGCAGGGATAGCATCAAATCCATGGTGGCAAATTGCAGAGATGTTTGGTCTTCTTTCTTCTTCTGTGCCCCTTGAAACACCGGGTGATGATTGATGTCTTTGCGTCGAAAGCCCAGGGCTGCATCTAACATTTTCCACAGATGCACCTCACATTTTTTCCATCACCAGCACAGGTCAGGTCACTTGTTATATTCAGAATAGACCCGATAAGTTGGGATATAGTCCTAATTTCTATAACCATGGTTGTGTATTCACTTAGTTCACAGGAACTGCGCTTCCAAGTGAAGGAATGATTGAATGGTCTTTGGTTCTGTATGAAAATATATGTTTTTCAGGTGTCAGCGCCAGTAAGAGGCCATGCGCATGTTGATCTTGTTGGGAGGTGGGGATGGGGTGGGGTGGGCTAAGAACGTTCTCTTGGACTTCCACGCATACGTCATGCTACGCATTGCTACGCTGCTGATTGGTTAAAAATTCCAATTCAAAGGCAGTTACTAGAGATATATACATACTATAGAGATATAGTGGGTTATAGTGGTATATACTATGGTTACCTATAGTATTATGTATAGTATTATGTACATTTCGAGACAATACTTTCAAATACTTTGGAAGCACTTGTATGCTGCTATCTGGCGCAGCGTCGCAGGCAAAGTCCTCAACAAACTTAGAAAAAATGAAACTTTTACACGAAGCTCTGGGGACACAAAATAACAGTTTCCTTGTGGTAAAACACTACATGTTGCAATTTTGAGGTGACCCTTCCACAAAAAATCAAATCAACCAAACATTTGCCAAAAAAAATGAAAGTGTGCAAATTACATCAAATTACCACAGTTTTTTGGACATTTCAACAATCATCATGATTGGCTGATGTCATCATTGACACGATCTTTTACGGACCTTCAACTGATGTTCAGATGTGGTGTTTCACCACGTTCTCGGGACTAGTTCGATACCAAAAGCGTGGGGGATGCCTCAAAATTGTTTATCATCTATCATCATGTTCCCTAACCCTATAGAAAAAATATATAACCCATTGGAAAAACCAATGAAAATCCTATCATGTCGTATCATTACATCATTATCATGTATCAAAATCCTATTATGACCCTATGCAAAAACAATGAAAACCACGTATCTCTTTATATCTCTTCCATTTTCCGAAACCCACAAGCCGATCCCAGCTGACCCCAGCTGCAGCCCCTGCCTTGCCCGCGCATGCCTCGGCTGGCAAGCTCCCAACACGCTGTTGAAGGTTGAGCAAATGGAGAGAGGTAAAACTGGTAAAACCCACTTGGTTGTAGGTGTGTATATATATATACGTATATATTATGTTTTTCCAGAAATATCAAGGAATACATGTATTGTGTCTCTAATTATAGTTTGGCTTGAATTGAATAAACCCTACGATTTTTCTCCCCTGTGTTTCTACTATATATACTGGAGTAACCCTTTTAATTTCCTGCCTATGAAGGGCCCGAAAAATCAATAGGTCAAAACATACAAATCCATGTCAATACAAAACTTTTTGTGGGCGCGGTATCATAGATGTCCTGATTATCAAAGGCGGAAAAAACAACGGAAAAAATAACATGGAACATGAACCAACACTCAAAACTTGGTGGTTGAGTCCATCCATTCCCCCGAGAAACCATGAACGTTGATTTGTCTGAAAATGGGGGAAGCAAACACAATTTCCCTTGCGATAAATAGGGAAAATGAGGTGTTATAGTCATTGTTAATCCATTGGAAGTGAGGGTGGCTTTCCCTTTTTTTGAGACAGACCCTATCATCTATTATTTAGGGAATAGGGCCATAGTTTCTATTGGGATAATATATGGCCCTAAACTATCTATAGTTTGATTATTCTCAGTATCCCAATATTATAGGGCCATAGAAACTATATTACTCTAACCTACTGGAATTTTGTGTTTTAGGGCTACTTATTTCTACTCAGAAGATGTGGCAGCAATTTTTATTTCCAAAGCGTATCATTGTTATATTACCCCTCTGAAAAATATGAGTTCGTCAATTGTGATTATATGAAATTCCCAATATATGGGAAAGTCATAGTCCATTCATGTTCCAAACCACCAACCAGATTATCTCATTAACCACTATTAACCACCATTATCCACCAGCAACCTATCCCCATATCATTGGTGGCACCTGTTTTGGTGGCACCAATTGGTCCGGAGACTTCAACAGATTTTTTTTAGGTCATTGATGCGGTTCTGTGCTTAAGTGGTTGTTGCTTAAGATTTTAGCCCCAAAACATCATTGGTTTGTTGGTAATGTTGGTTCTGTGTTGAAGTGGTTGTTGGTGAATGGTGGTAAATGATGGTTAATCATTGATGGTTAATCAAAAAATCAAAGATAATCAATATACCACTGATTAACCATCATTTACCATCATTAACCATCATTAACCATTATTAACCATCAAACAAAAAATCAAGATTTCAACTGATGGAACTGATAGAGGGAGAGATGACCACCACTTACTTGGGAGGCTTCGAGTACAGCCCGGGTTCTCGCCCAAATCAGGTGACATGAGGTTTTTTACTGGTCCTTTGCCCACCGCTCATTACACCTTGAGATGAAAAACCCTCAATTGAGATGAAACCAATGAGGGTGAAACCAATGAGATGTCTCAATTGCCCTCATTGGTTTACTGGTTCTCGCTCATTACCGTTGTTCCACCGAATGCGCATTGAGATGAAACCAATGAGGGACATCAGTCAACGTCGTCAACGTCCCCGTGAGGTGGTGATGCGCAACCCAATCCTCTCCTCTCCGGCTGTGATGATTCTGGTGTGAAGCTTTCACCAAAGATAGAAGAATAAGGATCTGGTTGGTGGTTTAAACCCCTATGGTCAATAGTGGTTAATGATGGTTAATTGGGATGATGGCATTCCCAATATATGGGAAAAATAAAATTCATGTTACAAACCACCAGCCAGGGATTACGCGTCTCTTATCAGGATGCACCAGTCTGCCAGTCTGCGAACCTTGTGGCACTGTCGATGATCTCTCGGGCAACGAGCTCTGCCAATCTAGGCTTCACACAATCTCTCGATGGCCATAGCTCCAGTATTGAGAGAGAACAACTGAGAGTAGATTGAGATACAACTAGTCAGCACATTCATTGCTATGATAAGTTGGGAGAACATCTGCGAGTCAGTAATTGAGTTCCTTCAAAGAAAGCGGATATGAGATAGAATGATACATGTGTTCTGTGATATCAAATCAGTAAGCATATCCGACAAGCAGAGTGTTGGATCACAACATTATACACACAACCATGGGTTACATTACTCGCTGATAGTTATTATGCTACAGGATGGGGCCCCCCAGTTGTAAGTTGGTTTATAAACCCCATTAACATCAATTAACTATAGTTATATCTACCATAAACCATAGCTAAGCCAGCTATAAGGCAACTTAGCTATCTTGGGGGCCCCATCCTGTAGTAAGGACTGTGTTTCAAGAACCAAACAGACGACCCTGCGAGCAATCGAAATCTCTTGGGTTCTGGTGTTCACCGTGTCATTTTCTTGAGAGTTTTTAAGGACTGTTCGCTGGCCCGGAATGTTTAAAATGATCCATAGAATCGATGAAATTAATGAAGGTAGATCAATATTCATATCATGTAAATGGGGGACATAGATCTTAAATTCACCATACTATTCTAACTTACTGGGACCTTCTACCCTTTGGTAAACTGTTACATAACTATGGAAAATCACCATTTTCAATGGGTAAATCCACTATAAATCACCATGTTCAATAGCTATTTTGACATGACCAGAGGGTAAGTATACCTGCCAGAATCGTCCTACGGTCTCCCCACCCGTTGAGCCAGCGTGACGATGAATGCTTCGACGCCGTTGGAGACAAAGACCTGAAGGCGGAGTGGATTTAGGCACACTTTCCGTCAACCCCAGATCAAACCATAACTGGTTGGTGGTATACCTACCCCTCTGAAAAATATTAGTCAGTTGGGGTTACTATTCCCAATATATGGAAAAATGTTCCAAACCACCAACCAGATAATATATCATCCATGAAGTCGCAAGGAACTACATTAAAAAAACATAAAAAAACAATTCAAAGTACATAAACCTGCAAGTTAGCGCCAAAGAAACAAGATATCCCCAAGCAGGATGCCCCCATGGTATATTAACCATTGGAAAAGTCAACTTCATCACTTCAATGGTCATTCCAGGATCCTAAATTGGAGGTACCTACCATATATATATATGGCCTTTTTTTAAGGCCTATGTAAGGGAATCTCCAAGCAAAATATGGCCTTATATTGTACAACACCTCTATTTTACGATCCTGAAGATCTCCCATTGATAACCTGAAACAAAGCCATGAAAACCATCACACCAGTGGTCTGGCTTGACAAGCTCGGAGGCTTCTGAGGTCACTACCATGGCGAGTGCTTTCGCCTCTTCCGCCCTTTTAAACCATGTACCCTCTGGTTATGACTAACAGTTCGCCATGGTATAGATGGCCTATAGAAATAGATGGTTTACCGTTCTTAAAAAATGGTGGATCTTTCCATGGCAAACTGTGAATGTCATAACCAGATGGCAAAACCACATTGAACTACGAACTCCAGTTCAATGGGATTTCCATTTCATATCCCCTTCATTTTTTCCATTCATACATCACATGTTCACCATATTTAGCTACCCTCTGGTGAACTAACATAGCAATGGGAAATCACCATTTTTAATGGGAAAATCCACTATTAATGGCCATTTTTCATTGCTATGTTAGTTCACCATATTTAGCTATTCTAAAACCCAATTCAAAGTATATAGAACCAGCTATTCTCCATCAGAATTGAATGTGTGAATAAGAATTGGTGGTTTAATGCCTACAATGTTAATCTGGTTGGTGGTATACCTACCCCTCTGAAAAAAATATGAAAGTCAGTTGGGATGATGACATTCCCAGTATATGGAACAATAAAAAATGTTCCAAACCACCAACCAGTAATCAAAGTAGAATTTTCCATTATTTTCTAATAAATGTTAAAACCACCGTTAGATGTTAAAACCTACGATTTTGATATTATTTTAATGGTGGTTCCTACAATGTTACCAGCTATTTTCTATTAAAAGCTACCATGACCCTCTGGTAAACATACAAAAAACGACGGAAAATCACCATTTTTACTCGGTAAATCAACTATAAATGGACCATTTTCAATAGCAAACTGTTTGTTTACCAGAGGGTAAACCTCCATTTTCCTATGGTTTTCCTATGGTTTTCCCATTAAAACCTCCATTTACCAGTTTGGTTAATTCCATTTACCATTTTGACATAACCAGGTTGGGTAAAACCCACCCATTTTGACCACCGAAGTTGGTCGGATTCACGGTGCTCCAAGGTGCTCCACGCGATTCCGCGTCCAGCATCGCGGCGAGCAGACGGCGCTGAATGGAGGCTGGAGCCTCGGCGAAAATCTGTGAGAACCAATGGTTACCATTTAGTTAACATTGTGACAATCACTGGTGAAATCCATTGATGTCAACCCTGTAATATTATATAATATTGGTGTATGGATTATTCAATCATGATTTACAGTAGCATCACTCAAAGTAATTATTAGTTAACAAAACCCATTGGATTAACTATTCAATCTCATATTATAACTGGTAAAAAAATGGGATATGGTAAAAAAAACACTAAAACCATATCCTGGATAGTAAAACCACTGGATAGTAAAACATATTACCATCTGGATAGTGGGATATGGGAATATAAATAATATGGTTTTGTTAACAAAGTAATTATTAGTTAACAAAACCCACTAGTGATTATCAACAATATTGCATTGATTTATAGCGAATTGAGCTGTGGATAGTTTTGATACTGTTGACCATCAATGACAATCACTGGTGAAATCCATTGATGTCAACCCTGTAATATTGGTTAATGGAGTATTCAATCATGATTTACAGTAGCATCACTCAATAGTTTAATGAATTATTAGTTAGTGGATTATCTGATATTGCTCGATGGCTTATCCAATCCTGGTGAATTGAACCATTTATAGATTATTATCTTGTGGAATTGACTGTTACCATCTGGCTATGACTAACATAGCGAACTGGAAAATCCCTGAAATAAATGGAGGTTTCCAGCTGGGAAAATCATCTGTTTCTATGGGCCATTTTCCATGGCTATGTTGAATAACCAGAGGGTAAAAGCACCGGAACATATGGGAATATGGGAACAAAAGCACCTGTAACATTAGTATAAATATAAAATATTAATATATCAATATGGGAATATGGTAAAGAAATGCAATAAACTAGGAATATGTCAACACATATCAAGAATCATTATAAGGGGATAACAATTATAGGGATAATGAATGATCAATTTTCTGGAAATAACAATGGGACACCACCTGATATCACCGGCATTATGGAGATCGGCCTCGTGATCCTCATGGCTTGCACCGGAATGGATCCGCTTATTATCTAATGTCCATTAAGAATAATATTTCATAATGTAAACCCGAAACAAATGGCTTCTATTACATTTCAAAATAGTGACCTCCAGCTAAGTTATGTTACCACTTCGATGCCATGTCCTTTCTTGAAGACAAACAGTTTTTAACATAGTGTGAAGCATTTACAGTATATATATATATTATAGATATACACGTACATTATATATATATATGCACATACATTATTAATATAGTTTCAAAGATGTTCTGACTTGGAACGCTCATGTGGGTGTTCATCCTCCTGCGCGGGTGGAACAACCACACCCTTCCCCAATGGTCCATAGAGAATCAAATCAAAGCCCAGCCACACGTACTTCCGGGGCACGCAAATCAAGTGCGTCGACTCACACACGTTCGCAACAGATAAAATCGCTACGGGCCGCTAGCGATTTACCAAGAAGGTTTCAATTGCTGCGAAACAAGCAGAAACCACGGGAAAACACACACGAAATTTGGTATCTCTTTGGTGATAGTCGCAGGATTTAGTCAATGGAATCCTGGAAGGGGCGTTGTTATCAACCAAAATTCCCAAAAACCTCCGGAAAGCATCCCAGTGAAGGACAAAGCACAGCATCGCTGACGCAATTGATCAGCAACTTCCACCTGGACGTAAGAGATTGATTCAGGAAATTTGTGGATTTCAGTTGATTCAGGAAAATCACAGACTTTCAAAGGAGGAATGGTGATGCAGTTTCTTTAGCTTCATTTCTTTCCCAATGGTGCTGTCTGCAATAGAAAAACAATACTGTAAGACATGGATGCCCTGATATTCACTGGCCATTTCAGGAACCGATTCATTGGAGGTACCTACTATATGTAAGGCCTATTTTTTAGGCCGAAATTTCAATATCTCCAGAATTCATATGGCCAAAACCATGGTACGTTTACTACGTACCTCCATGTATTGAATCCTTTTTGATTCCCATGGATCTGGGAAAATTATAATATTTCACGTTCACCTGAATCTTGCGGCCATTTGGGGATGATTTCCCTTATAAACCATGATTTCCAGTGAGGGAGAACAGTGAGGTCGTTATAATTTACCCAGATGGATGGTATGTCACATCTGCCACATGGATCCGCATGGCAACGTGAGAAGTTGCTGGCTTTTCAATCCCAGATTTTCCCAGGTTTTTACGAAGGGGTAGAAAATGACGGCTTTCCAAACCACGGCCGCGCAATATCAAAGGGTGACAAAAAGGGATGCCAGCACTTGTCCCATGTTCATTTCTAGATTGATGGGGCTCATATTTCAAAACCTGTTTCCACGCGGTAATTTGACAGTTTGCTAACATGGCCATAGAAATAGTTGATTTACACATTAAAAAATCTTGAATTTCCCTAGTTATGTAACAGTTTACCAGAGGGTAACCATTGGTTGCTATAACCAAAGTGTTTAATCTCGCATATCCTTATTCTGGATTATTCTGGAGTTCCACTGGTTGGTGGTTTTAACCATATTGAAAACTATTGGTCAATGGGAAGGATTATCCCATATATTGTGGAACATAAAAAATGTTTGAAACCACCAATCAGTTTATCATTATTCCAACCTGCCAAGGTGCTTGCTCTTTCCGTCGCTAGATTTCCATGGTCCGCTTCTCCACAAGCACTCCTGGGGGGGATTTTTGGAGACCAGCTGAGCACTGGTTGGGTAAATTGATGAATAAATTAAATTATATATATATAATGTATATATATATATATATTATACATGTATAGATCTTCAATTCCATCTATCTTACATAGATGTAATAGTTAATATCCCATCCCCCTAATATAAAACTCACCCCCCCCTTCTCTGATCCAGGATCTGTCATATCTCCCCTACATCCACCATGGTGCCATGGTGGGCTTTATCATCCCAACATCCCGTTGTCCATTGATGTTATAGATCCAAAAACAAATATATATCTGTAAACATAAAAAAACAAACCTACTATTGGTTGGTAATATACTGTTAATATACTAATGGTTAATATTAATGGTTATTATATGGCTAATGATGGTTAATAATAACCTGGTTGGTGGTATACCAACCCCTCTGAAAAATATGAGTTCGTCAATGGGAAGGATGTCATCCCTTTTTTATGAAATGGAAAATAATCCATTCATGTTTGAAACCACCAACCAGTAACATTCATCCATTTAATCCATTTATCATGGAATATGTAAGATATTTCAAGATCCCCATGGATTTTACATCCCACCTCCCCATCGATGCTGAAGCATTGCGTTGCTTCACCCTGTAGGGCCAAGGCAAGCCTGGCGACTCGCCAAAGGATATCGAAATCTGATATCTTTATTGATAGGTAAATATATATATAGTTTAATATAGTTTATGTATACAAATATAATGTATATATATATATTATATACACAGCATATGTATCTGATATATGCATGCCTACTATACCTAGTGGCAGCTGGTTTTAAACCAGAAACAATTGTTATGGATGTGCCTTCTTTTAAACTCATTTTCCAAGGTTGAAGAATTGCAAGACATGACATGGTGCACATGTGAAAGGGTGAACGGGGTGGTTCCTAAGCGCTAAGATGGATTGCTTCCAACGGTCTCACAGCACCAGGCACTCGTATTCTCGATGTAACGTTTCCACTCGTCTTCTCGATGTTACGGTTTTTTAGTGCAACCTAGCAGCTGTTTGAAGCCATTAAAGGATCGGTTTAACGTCCAATTCTTCATAAATTTAATGTGTCATTCTCCAACTTTACCCCAGCCTTTTAGGCGTATTTCTTGCAACAAACTAGAGGCTCCACTAAGATCAATAAAACCTCAGGTGCTTGACAAATGAATGGAAAACGTCGAACAAAGTTGCAAAGAAATAATGTTTCCAACTTTTCCCGTCTTTTTCCTTCTACATGAACAGTGATCCTATTTAAACAATTGTTTCCCCCGACAATCTTGGTGTTTTTTCTGTCTGCATTGGTCAATGCTTCAAACCGTGGTTTTGGAACTTAAGGAATCCAAATTATGAATGTCAACCTCAGATTCTCTCTGCATCTGGGACTATGTTCAATCCAAAACGAATTGAATCTGAATTCAACGACTTAGTTCGTTGGTTTTCTCAGCACAAAAAACCTCCATTTCGTTCGGGGAATTCCATTGCCATGTTTGATGACACCGGAGGGTGTCATCCAAAAAATGACCTGAACTGGTTGGGTTTTCAGCCTCCAACAGTGAAGGAAAAACATCCAGTTTTGTTGGTAGACTCCATCAAGATCCATTGACAAAACGTGACATACCATGATACACACCATAAACCCAACCAGTTACTAAGTTCTATCAATGAAATATCACTACAACCAATCCACAGTTATCTTAGTTCCTTAGTTGTACCAGTTGTAACCCAACGAATCGCCAACGAACAGCCAGGAGCAGCAGCACCCACCTCAAGTCCACCAGCCATCGACCACGGCGATGTTTCTGCAAGGTGAGCCTGAGATGTCGGGATTACCCTCTGGTAAACTATGGAAAATCATCATTTTTAATGGGAAAACCATGGGAAAACCATGGGAAAATGGTGATTTATATGGAAAGATCCACCATTTTGTAGCTGGGACAATTCACTCTTTAACAATGGCCATTTTTCAATAGTTTTTTGTATGTTTACCAGGGGGTAATCCTGCAAAAATGATGGTTAAATTGTGGGAAATCATCAACCCTTTTTGGGCGATGATCTCATAGGGTTCACCCAGTTGGGATTTTACGGGGCTTTCTCCCAGTTGGGATTGTCATCTGTCTAGGGGACCTCCAACATGAAACCATCAACCAGTGTGGTTTCTTGGGCTGACCCGGCTGATAGGCTTTGAAAAGGGCTAGACCCCAATGCTTCAGGGCAAATCCACGGGAATCGTGTGAAACACAGAGGTTTGTTCGGATTGTTTTTCACCAAACGTGTTTTTTTGGGATAAAATTTTCTAATAACGTGGTAACGCCCACAATCAAAGGGGATGATGCGGCAAAACAACAGTAAATCAGATGGAGGTTTCCTAAAATAGGGGTACCCCCAAATCATCCATTTTCATAGGATTTTCAATTTTGAGCAATCCATTTTGGGGTACGGCACACCCATCTTAGGAAACTCCCATATCACCAATGATCCCAAGTTTCACCACACATAGGTTGCACTCCCCTATTTATAGTCATTTTAGAAAGGATGATCAAACCATAGTTAACCATTATAAACAATAGTTAACCATTATTAAACACTATGGACCATTATAATCCAATACTAACAATCATTAACCATCATTATAACCATTGGATGTATGGTCACCCTATTTTGAAACAAACTCCAATGGTTGGGCGAAGCATATTGGAAGCGTTGGCGGTTGGTGAATATGTTATTGACAAAGACCTATAAGTTTATAATGCGAATACATATATATATATATATGTAAATATAGAATACATATATCACATATATATATAATTACCACAGATATATAGAATATAAATGTATATAAATATCATATATATATATATCATACCAGTAGTACCGCGCAAGGCGGTGGCGGAATTTTCAAAAATAGGAAACCTATAGGAGAGGTGAGTTGTTGTGATGCATGGATGGCAGAGCAAATCCACTGATGGACCGAGAGCTGGTTGGAGTTGTGTTTTTTGGAGTGGTTGCAATGGTTGCAGTGGTTACCTCACCCACAACTGCTGGAGGTAGTGTGCTGTAGTGCAGCTGTAGTTGTAGTGGTAGTGTAGTTGAGTTGTAGTTGTAGTTGTAGTGTAGTGTAATGAGTGTAGTTGTAGTTGTAGTTGCAGTTGTAGCTGTGGTGTGGTGTAATGAGTGTAGTGTAATGTAATGTAGTGTAGTGTGCTGTAGCGTTGTGTTCTGTAGTGTAGCCTAGTGTAGTGTAGTCTAGTGTAGTTGTACCTGTAGGTGTAACTGTAGTTGTAGTTAGTGTAGTGTAGCGTAGTGTAGTGTAGTGGAATTAGTGTCGTGTAGTGTAATGTAGTATAGTTGTAGTTGTAGTTGTAGCTGTAGTTGTAGTGTAATTGGTGTAGCGTAGTGTTGTGTAATGTAGTTTCATTGTAGTTGCAGTTGTACTCTAGCGTATTGTAGTGTAATTAGTGTAGTGTAGTGCAATGCAGTTGTAGTTGTAGTTGTAGTGGTAGTTGTAGTTGTAGCAGTAGCAGCAGTAGTAGCAGAAGTAGCAGTAGCAGTAGCAGTAGCAGCAGTAGTAGCAGTAGTAGCAGTAGTAGCAGTAGTAGTAGTAGTTGTTGTTGTTGTTGTTGTCGCAGTTGTAGTGTAATTAGTGTAGTGTACTGTAATTTCTGTAGTGTAGTGGAATTAGTGTACTGTAGCGTGCATTTGTATTTGCAGTTGTAGTGTGGTGCAGTTGTAGTTGCAGTTGTAGTTGTAATTGTCAATCTATCTATCTACCTAGATTATCCATCTATCTATCTATCTATCTACCTAGATTATCTACCTATCTATCTATCTACCTATTTATCTATCTATCTACCTAGATTATCTACCTATCTATCTATCTATCTATTTATCTATCTATCTATCCATCTATCCATCTATCTATCTATCTTTCTATCTATCTTTCTATCTATCTCTCTATCTCTCTATCTCTCTATCTCTCTATCTCTCTAGCTCTCTATCTCTCTATCTCTCTATCTCTCTATCTCACTATCTCTCTAGCTCTCTAGCTCTCTGGCTCTCTGGCTCTCTAGCTCTCTATCTCTCTATCTCTCTAGCTCTCTAGCTCTCTATCTCTCTATCTCTCTATCTCTCTATCTCTCTAGCTCTCTATCTCTCTATCTCTCTATCTCCCCACATACACATCCGTATATATATATATATATATACACGCCGCGGTGCCAAAGGTCGCGCCGTGTGGGGCGCCAGGTCCGAGGCTTGGCGCTCCGGCTGTACAGTTTTTGTCTGTTGATGGAGTCGAACGCTCTTGTGAGGTCCAAGCTGACCACGAGTCCTCCCAAAATCTCTGGTGGTACCTGGCCCATAGCACGTTGATGAATGGGCATCTGAAGAGCATGTAGTGCACGTCTCACTGTTGTGCAATGTGAGGTCACACGGCCAATCGCATCCTCGTAGCTTCTGTTGGCCATGCAGGCGTACTGAGGAAGCCTGATCAGGATATGGTTGATTTCTGCCAAAATCGCTTCTGCTATGAGGCCCATGGTGACTTTGTCTGTGGGTTCAAGTAACGCTATCGGCCTCAGCTCTTTCGGATGAGCTCCAGCTTTCAGCGGCTTCACCAGGAATGCTAATGAGCCTGAACCCCCATTGGGGTGGATAGTTTGAAGTTTCACAACATGAGTGCCAATAGGAGTCCAAGTAGGTCGCAATATTGAATGCACTGCATTTCCACAGTGCCGGTGCGAAGTCTGGAGCCTTCCGGGCCTTCCGGGCCGGCAAACATTCCAGTCCCCTGGCAAAATCATCAACACTGAAAGGCCAACAAAATGAGGTAGGAGATTCATGTGATTTTTCATCTGAGAATTGTGCCTGTAGCCATTGAAGAAAGTCTGCTGATGCCTGTGGTCCCATAAGTTGGCCATGGGAAGTTGAAACCCTGCTCTAAAAGCCCATATCCCAACTTGTGGAGCCTATTGCCAGTCATACCATCTGGTTATTTAACATAGCCATGGTATAGATGGCCCATAGAAATAGATGGTTTACCTATTAAAAATGGTGATTTTCCATGGCTATGTTAGTCATAACCAGATGGATACCAGATGGTAAACGCAACTCCACTCCCAATTACGACTGTTTCCAATTTTGACATCCAAGCTGCAAGGCGATGCTAGCAGCTTCTGACCGTCCTGCGCTGTGCCGAGAAATCGTGGATGCACAAGAAACACAACAACATACAACAAGCCTTCTCCTCGCATTCATGATTTAGGGGGTACCCTCTGGTAAACTAACATAACTATGGAACATCACCATTTTTAATGGGAAAATCAACTATAAATGGCCATTTTCAATAGCTGTTTTGACATAACCAGAGGGTAATCCCATCCAATTTCAACAACCTCCAGAAACCATGAAAGCTTGGTATTTCTCAATTAAACTAACAGTCTGCTAATGAAATTCCCATGGTTTTCCTATTAAACATGGTGGATCTTTCCATCGTTTTTTGTTACAGTTTACCGGAGGGTATGCTTTTTGATCACCTAACTGGAGCACCCCCGGCAACTCTACAGGTGCTCTGCACTATGATTGCCATGTTTGGTGACAGCGGGTATATCCGTGAATATCAAACATGACCATATACCAGAAATATGGAAAATATATCAACAGATATATGGATATTGGAAATCCTCAAACAACTACCATGGAGATTGATTCTTAACCAGATATTACAATTAAACTACCATGAAACCTCATTTTTTGATGCAGAAACTCCATGTTTTAGTCGCAAGCGAACCACCAGATGCTTCGTGGTCAAAGCGAAATATCCTTCACCGGTACGCACCCAGAAAAACCTGGGACTCTTATTCGGTTTACCCGGCCTGGTAAACATACAAAAGACTATGGAAAGATCCACCATTTTTAATGGGTAAATGCACGAACTAAATCACCATTTTCAATAGCAAACTGTTGACATAACCAGAGGGTATACCACATTATCCTGATAAATCCGGCATAATATCGAAATATTCATGACGAACTCCCCATAATTTCATGATTCAATCCCAGATCTGAACAGAACCATCATTTTCCGTTGTTTACCCAACATCTTTCATTGTTTATTTCAACAAACACCTAACCATATGTTCATGCCGAACTTTCCCATATTTTGATGCTTCACCGGTTGCTTACCGCTGTGATTCGTGATCTCCCAGTCCAAAACTGCAGTGGAATTTTTTGGCGCGCCTTCATTCAATTGCTCGGCCAAGCAGGCTCTCCTGAAATCCAGAGATTCTGATGGGATTCAGAAGACTATACCATTGGTAAACAAACAAAAAACGATGCAACATCATCACTTTTAATGGGTAAATCCACTATGTCTATGGCCATAAATGGACTAATACATAAATAAATATATATATATTAATCTGGTTAGTGGTATACCTACCCCTCTGAAACATATGACTTCGACAGTAAAAAAATGTTCCAAACCACCAACCACCATTGGAAAGGTGATCATAAAACCAAAAGATGATTGATTCGCACTATCCCGCATAATTATGAATGGGAAACTAAGAACTACCATGTGGTTGGGAAATTCTTGGTAGCTCCCTGGCTCCCTCCCCACCACCTATATGTATTATCTATATGTATTATCTATATGTATTATCTATATGTACTATCTATATGTATTATATATATATAAATGTATTATCTATATGTATTATCTATATGTATTATCTATATGTATTATCTATATGTATTATCTATATGTATTATCTATATGTATTATCTACATGTATTATCTATATGTATTATCTATATGTATTATCTATATGTACTATCTATATGTATTATCTATATGTATTATCTATATGTATTATCTATATGTATTATCTATATGTACTTGAGAAGGGGTGACACGAAAGGTAGTTGTGTCACAGGGGACGCGGGGGATCATTCAGTGCGAAAGCCGACATGCGACCGGGCCCTTTTCTGCTGAGACCAAGCCTTAGGCTTGTCAATATGGACGTCATGCGCTAGCAAGTCACCGCTTGGACAGAACGAAGGGAAAATTTCTGTCCAACTGAAGCATGGAGAAGCGCCGACGTTCCTTTGCTTCACCCGTTTGCTTGCAAAAGTTAAAGTGACGTGGGTTCTGTCAAGGGCAAAAAACGGACTGGAACCGCGGGCCGCTTTTCAGCCTGAGGACTGGAATTGTTGCTGCCAGCACTGGATCCGAAAAGAGGGCACCCCACGATTGCCATGGTTGATCATCACTTAGTCTATTTAAAGAGCCATTTGGAGGTATATTGTCTGACACACACATCGTGCGGGGAAAAAAAACACGGTCAGTGTTAGCACAAACCCCAAAGTCGCTTTTGCGGTACCTATGGATGCTCGAACCTGTCACTTTCATCGCACCGTTGGGTGCGGGGCAAATGGATGTCGAAAAATCCGAATTGCAAGTCGAATGATGATGATGAGGATGATGCTGATGATGAGGATGATGACGACGATGCTGATGATGAGACACTGCGAAGGGGCTGCTGCGTGAAGAGACGCACAAGGCATGTGACGAGAGTTCACTTGGGGGGGGCATGGAACTGGACATTCAGAGCAGAGCGGAGATATCTGGATCCGAAAAGAGAGCACCCCACGATGTCCATGGTTGCTCATCACTTAGTCCATTTTTAAATAGCCATTTGGAGGTATACATTGTCAGACACACGCATCGTGCGGGGGAAAAAAAAACACGGTCAGTGTTAGCACAAACTCCAATGTGTCTTTTTGCGGTACCTATGGATGCTCGAACCTGTCACTTTCATCGCACCGTTGGGTACTTGGAAAATGGATGTCGAAAAATCCGAATTTCAAGTCGAATGATGATGGTGATGAGGAGGAGGATGATGATGATGTTGATGATGATGATGATGGTGATGATGACAAGACACTGCGAAGGGGCTCCTGCGTGAAGAGACTCACCAGGCATATGGCGAGAGTTCCCTTTGAAGGGGGGGGAGGGGGGGGGTCCTTTTCTCCTGGTCGTTCAAGGATAAGGGGTCCAACCCGCTCCTTTGCTTCGCAAAGTGACACTCAAGGTAGCCCGCTAGGAGGCTACCTTTCGTGATTATCTATATGTATTATCTATCTATCTATCTATCTATCTAGCTATCTAGCTATCTAGCTATCTAGCTATCTAGCTATCTATCTATCCATCCATCCATCCATCTATCTATCTATAGGTCTAAAATTATTTGTAATTACACAGTCTATACAGCATCATTTATATTTGTATGGACAGATATAGTGTTCCCAATGACAAGCGCAATTTTGAGATATGTCTGGGATGTATTTTGAATAATTTTGAGACAAACCCATGTAACACGTTACCATAGGGTATGAGCAAATCATCTTGAGGCTTTAGTTAGACTGTGCCACGCCTGATCATCTTCGATCTTCGTCTGCCTAAGGCATCGTAGAAGATATGGCACAAGATCCACCACCAGCTGCAAAGAAACAGTTCGACGGCCGGTGGAACCGGCTCCGCAGTCGCACACTTCCCGGACCTCGTTGATATGGCTGATCGGTATCCAGTCCGATGAGCTTGAAGATGCCTGCTCAACCGACAGTGCATAGTACGGGTGGGAGTTAGCAACCACAACTCCGGCGTCGTAGAGCCACACCCACCAGCACTCCCTCTCATGATTGCCGAGGATGTATGATAGGTCAGCGAGCGCTTGTTCCGTCGCGGCTCCCTTGAACCCGCGTGCTAGGGCTGCCATCGGACCTCCATAGTCGCTCCTGCCCACTGGCTTGGGCTCAAATGGCTTGTGCAGTAGGATGACAGTTGAGGGAGTAGCGCTGAACCTGTCGCCTATGAGGCAGTCAATGACTTCGATGGGGTTGGGCCAGAAGTGGAGCTTGCAGTCGCTCGAGTGGTCAGTCATGTAGGTCGAGAGAGCCAGCAGTCCGACTAAGTTACTGACTGCATGGCCCAGTCGAGGATTTCTCCTCACAGTCTCGGATGCAGACCTGGTCCAAAGCCAGAGCTCGGCGTTGTAGGCACCACTGCAACTGAATGGTTGTGCTGCAATCTGCTTCAATCATGTTGTCTGGAGACGCCAACTTCAAGGTGTGCTGCTCCAACTGAACCACAGAGGGCAAATTCTTGGCCCCATGCTACCCATAACTTAACAAATGGTGATTTTTTATAGCTATATAAACGTTTACCAGAGGGTAAATCATCTATCATGCGTCATTAACATTACGTTGCCAATCTTAGATACCCTGCAAAAAATAACAAATTCTTTGCTGGTGAACGTAGATATTCTCATTGATACCAAAAGACTAGTTAGGATTAGCTTGTGCCCATCTAAGATTGACCTAGATTATTTATACTATATCATAATGATCCCGCTATCCCAACAACCCGTGGTTAAGCGGCAGCCCCCTACTGCCCGCAACCGTTGGTTTACGAGTAAGTAAGTTACCTGCCGGCTTTACGGTAGATATATTGAACTATTTGGGAAACTAGATAGTTACATGGGTATATAAACTAACTTGGTCGAGTATACACCCAAATCTTGCAAAAACATGACTTTAACCAATGAACATGTTAGTACGATGCGATGGAATGGTGGTTTTCCACGGAAACATTCTGGATACCCTCTGGTCAACATACAAAAAACTATGGAACATCACCATTTTGTAGCTGGGAAAATCAACTATTTCTATGGGCCATTTTCAATAGCTATTTTGACATAACCAGAGGGTAAACCTCCATTTTCCTATGGTCTTCCCATGGTTTTCCTATGGTTTTCCTATGGTTTTCATAACTTTTTGTGCCGGGCCAAGCTTCAGCTCGGTGTATCCTCCCAGCAGAGTTTCTCCCAGTTCACACTTGGGGCTGCTGTGTCCGGCTGCGGAAAGCTGGAACTGCGCCATGTCTGGAAAGCTTTGTACCTCCGGTGTGGATAGGGAGGGAACGTTGGGAGTTGTTGGGTCATGTGGTAAACCCAATGCCATGAAGATTTACCAAGATTTATACCCTCTGGTAAACTAACGTAGCTATGGAAAATCACCATTTCTCACGGGAAAATTCACTATTTCTATGGTGGGTTTATATAGTTTTTTGTATGTTTTCCAGAGGGTAAACATTCCATTTTGAAAAGTGTGTTAATCCAAGCTGAGGTGCCTTTTTTGCACTTCAGTTGACGCACTTAACTTGGTTGACTTAACGGTTTATGGGGGATGCAACTATAGTGACCTGGTTGGTGGTGAAAAAAACATCCCAACAGCCAGTTATGCATATACGGCTTTAAAGTGTCATTTAACCACCAATTCTATGGAAAACAAAGGATTATATCTCATTACATATATATATATATAATCAAATATAATCAAATATAACCAAATAAAATCAAATACAATCAAATATAATCAAATATAATCAAATAAAATCAAATATAATCAAATATAATCAAATAAAATCAAAAATAATCATATATAATCAAATATAATCAAATATATATATATATATAAGCAAATATAATCAAATATAATCAAATATAATCAGATATAATCATATATAATCAAATATAATCAAATATAATCACATATAATCAAATATAATCATATATACACATATAATCAAAAATAATCACATATAATCAAATATAATCAAATATAATCAAATATAATCAAATAAAATCAAATATAATCAAATATAATCATATATATATACATATAATCCAATATTATAGGATATACACATATAATCAAATATAATCAAATATAATCAAATAATAATCATATATAATCAAATAATAATCATATATAATCATATATAATCAAATATAATCAAATATAATCAAATGTAATCATATATAATCAGATATAATCATATATAATCATATATTATCCCGGATTCAAATGGTTAATTTCATTGGTGATCATGCCATGATGGTTCATATCTGGGGATCATATATTGGGGCCTGCTGATTCAAACCATGGGAAAACCATTGGAAACGATGGGAAAACCATAGGAAAATGGAGGTTTAGAAAAAATGATACGAATCTTTATGGTAGCATCCCAATTTTTCAACAGTCGTAAACGGGGTTTATTCATCCAGGGTTGACATTACATGGTTTTTGCATGTTTTTAGCCTATGGCAATCAAAGATTGTGGGAAAATGCCCATTTACCCTCTGGTTATGTCAAAATAGCTATTGAAAATAATTACCCCATTTATAGTTGATTTACCCATTAAACATGGTGATTTTCCATAGTTTTATGTATGTTTACCAGAGGGTAGTTTGATGACTTTTCCAGCTGTAAAGCCGACAAAATGAACCCTAGGATTTTCCAGCGATTGCAATGTTTGACACGGCTCGGCGACCCTCCGGCAAACTAATCTGGGTGGTGGTATACCTACCCCTCTGAAAAATATGAGTTCGTCAATGGGAAGGATTATCCCATATATTACGGAGAAAAAACAATGTTTGAAACCACCAACCAGTAATAGTTTGCGAACTGAAAAATCACCATTGTTTATAGGTAAATCAACCATAACTAATTTAAATAGGCAATCTTCAATAGCAAACTGTGAAAAAACGATCCCTTCCTAATATTCAACACTACTCCATGGTCCCAATCATTGCCAATTATGTTTAAATCCATATAAATCCATATTAAATCCATAATAAATCCATATTCAATCCATATAATTAAACCATATAAATCCCTTACATCCACCATGGTTTCCAGGCTGTTTCATAGCAGGGGAAGAAAAAAGCCACCGACATCGCCCGACTCATCAGGTCGAGCATCTTCCAGCTCCCAGGCATCCTGTGACGCGACTTGAGACACATCCGATTCCGATTCCCACGAAAATCGCTCGAACATGGCCATTGATAGTTGATTTACCTAGTAAAAATGGTGGATCTTTCCATAGCTTTTTGTATGTTTACCAGAGGGTATATGAACATATCAAATATTCCATAAGCATCCCATGAATATCCCATCAACGTCATGTAAATATCCCCGAAAATACACAGCAAAATCATGGTCTGGTTGGTGGTTTTAACGATCTTGAAAATATTAGTCAATGGGAGGGATTATCCCATATACTATGGAACAATAATCCATTCATGTTTGAAACCACCAACCAGTAACAGTTTGCGAACTGGAAAATCACCATTGTTGATAGGTAAATCAACCATAACTAATTTAAATCGATGGTTTACCTATTATATAATAGCATGGTGGATATTTCCAGTTCGCAAACTGTTATTGGTTCCGATTGAATCATGGAGAATCGCAAGATCCAAGCAGATATCTCATTAATTAACCATTATTAACCACTATTAACCATCATTAACCACCATTATCCACCACGTCTGTAGACGTCGCCTGCAACTTCTGCACGCGCTCTGCGCACTGCACCGCTGCACGGTGGAAGGGACAGGTGGCAACACCCGAGATGCGCAGCAGCGGCATAGCGGCAGCGTCAATGAAGGATATTACGTCATAATGGATAATGGATAATGGATATAAATGGATATAATTGATATATATATATATATGTATATACATAAATGATATAATTGGATATTGATAGATATTTCAAAAATAGATATTGATATGTATATATTTAAATATATAAATGGGATACTATGGAATCTTGATCATTCAACAATGGATAAATGGATATTTCATAATCCCATAATGGGATATGAATGGATATAAAACTGGGATATGAAGTGGGCTATTAAGGGGATATGAATGGATATAATACTGGGATATATCCATGCTATGTGGAATATTATGTCATAATGGATAGCCATATGGATATTTCATAATGGATATTGATGGATAAGTGAGATATTGTGGAATATTGATGATTCTTCAAAAATGAACATAGTCATGAAAGTTCTAAGTTATTGCTATTGTACTAACATGAACATTCTGAACATGGATATTCATGCGGATTTTGCCAAGGTCACCTTAAATAATCATCTGATTTTGACAAGATATTCCATAATGGATATCGATATAAATTGATTTTCTATAATGGATATTAAATTATTTGATGTTAATGGATTATGTTATTGATGATATGTTAACATCATCTTAATGATTTTCCTTGACGGATATTGATGTTGATTGGCTTTACCGGGATTTTGCCGTACAGGTAGTATGAGATGGCTGATTTAATGGCGATATGATGGGTTTTTCGATCATGGATCTTGACGGATGGATCTGTTGTATTTTCCCATTGGAAGCTCCAAAATTTCAATCGAAAAACACTGGTTTCCTGTAGATTTTCCTTAACCAATCCGTTGAGTCAGAAGCGGCTTCGCTTCCTTGTCATTTTTTTGTGTTGGTCGTTGACAACACATAAAAACTTGGGGAGTTTACATACAACGAACACAAGAAAGACAGTGTAAACATGAAAAATGCTACACAACTATCAATCTGATTTTTTCGCTTTGCCCAGAGTGGATGATCCAATTTAGGACAATTTCAGCAGACAACATGATGGTAAGCAAAGGATTTTGGGCTAACCACAACCAAAATCCAACCAACATGAAAATCCCAAGGGGTTATCACAAAATCATTTTGGGGTAATGATTGCCAAACCATGTTGGGGTAATTATTCACAGAATTCATCAATTTTGGCAATCATTGTCCCTAAGCCACCAAGGTGAATTTTGACGTGATTTTGCAGTGATTCCAGAAGCATTCCGAAGAAGACAAGTGGATTTTTCACGGCCAACCTATCTTCATCCTGATTTTGGGGATTCACCAAATTCCTATAGACACATAGCTTGAATCACAAAAAAACCATTTCAACATACCAATATACTATATACCCTCTGGTAAACTAACATAACTATGGAAAAACACAATTTTTAATGGGAAAATCCACTATAAATAACCATTTTCAATAGCTATGTTAAATTACCAGAGGGTATTCAATATGTCTTAAGGGTCTTCGATATTCAACATAAGCAGTTTTTCAATGCCGATTCATTGCCAATCAGCCAGATACCTTGCAAAAAATGACTAAAATTCTTTGCTGGTGAACGTAGATATTCCCATTGATACCAAAAGACTAGCTAGGATTAGTTTGTACCCATCAAAGATTGACCTAGGATTGTGTATGCTGAGTGCCGAGTGCCCTTTATTCCTGTGCCAAATGCATGCTGAAAGAGACGGCGGAGGTCACGTGGTCTCTTCGTCTCGATCCAAACCCATAGGAAAATGGAGGCTTTAATGGGAAACCATAGGAAAACCATAGGACAATGGAGGTTTACCCAACCTGGTTATGTTAACAGTTTGCGAACTGGAAGCCTTGGCCCAGTCGAAATAGTGGATTTACCCAGCTAGAAAAATGGTGGATCTTTCCATAGTTTCTTGAATGTTTACCAGAGGGTAACCCGATCATAGTGATAAGATAAAACCCTAAATCGAAGATCCACCAAAATTAAAGGTTTCCGAGTACAGACATATCAAATGGTTCTCCAAATTGATCTTTCCTCCAACATGGGTCGCGCAACTCCAAGTCGGGTCGTTTTTTTGGGTCGAAAAAAAAATCAGAATCCAAAAAAGGTTTTGGGATGATCTTTGCAGAAAAAAATGCCAGGGTCATAACCAATGGTGATTATATGGTGAATATATGGTGATTAATGGTAAATATATGGTGATTAGTGATGATTATATGGTAAATATATGGTTATTATATGGTTAATGATCAGCCATAACTATTGAAGCCATCAACCAATGGGATGCATGAAGGAAACCTCAGGGACTTATGGGACGCATTCGTGGACACCGTTTGTTGGACGATCAACGAGATGTCCTGGGAACCATTCGACGGGATTTTTTCAACTATAATAACTGATGTATTTCAGAAAGCACAACAACTTCCAAGAAAATACACC